TTTAATAAAAATGTGCAATTATATAAATTATGTGTTAGTCATAGGTATGATTCACATATAGGTTGTCCGGAGTGAAGGAAGTTTGGATTAATGACACTCGGCCATTTACGTAGGACCGCGGAAATGCTGTATTTGGTTTTTAATAAAAATGTGCAATTATATAAATTATGTGTTAGTCATAGGTATGATTCATATATAGGTTGTCCGGAGTGAAGGAAGTTTGGATTAATGACACTCGGCCATTTACGTAGGGCCGCGGAAATGCTGTATTTGGTTTTTAATAAAAATGTGCAATTATATAAATTATGTGTTAGTCATAGGTATGATTCATATATAGGTTGTCCGGAGTGAAGGAAGTTTGGATTAATGACACTCGGCCATTTACGTAGGACCGCGGAAATGCTGTATTTGGTTTTTAATAAAAATGTGCAATTATATAAATTATGTGTTAGTCATAGGTATAATTTACATATAGGTTGTCCGAGGTAAAGGAAGTTTGGGCTAATGATACTTGACCATTAAGGGACACGGAGATGAAACCCTTTACATAACAAGAGGCCGCGTAAAACAACAGAAGCGTTGTATCTAGATAATGAATGCACTTTTTCGTATTACACTTTGGTCCTAGAATACTCATTTTCGCAATTAATTTTGCCTGAATTAGTGTGACAGTAATAGTTAAAGTTAGAACTATACCATGGAGGTAGTTTTCAAGGTGGGTTTTGAAATTCATATTTTAGTTTATTAAGTCCATTTCAGGAAAAAACAATAACATGGCAGAGAACCATCAAAATATCAGAGGCCACATATTTATTAGCCAAACCACAAGCATTATCCAAGATATACATTATACAAATGTTTTGCATGTAAAGTATGAATGTACTTTTGCAGGTTTTATTGACAGAGAAAAGGTGAAATGAACTTTACACCCACCGTCTTATTAACATATAACGGATGTACAGGGCGTTCAGTAAGTAAAGCTAATTTTGCTCTCAAATTTTTATTTTTTGTCATTTATCTTTCAAATTTTCAGTGAAGAAGCATTTGACATTTTTCTAACTACCCTGAAAAATTAAATAAGATATGATGAATAATAGCAAAACAATGGTTGTCATAGTAACGTGAATACGGGTTCTGCGGAGCAATTTCTTACTTTAATAAAAATGTTATAATGCAATGAAATTGATTAAGATTAATGCTGCATATGTCTTTGTTTGCTATGGCTGAAAGTCACGACAAACATAACAACAACATACACAAATATGATACCATGGCAACAGTAATCTATGATATCACAGACAGATGATACAACAGATGGAATGATCCAGAATGATCCATCAGACACTGCTCCATGACATCATCAAAATCATGGCTGCCAGGATTGCCAATGGAAGCAAAATGAACAATAAAATGAAACAACAATTGAGAAGTAGCATCAGATACAATGTGTTGCTAGGGAAATCCAAGCAGGATACCATTAGGGATATCCAAAAAGCATATGGGGACAGTGTGCCTAAGTTCACAATCTACAAATGGTATCAGAAATTCCAAAAGGGGAGATAAACAACAAGTGATGAGCCAAGGTCAGGTAAGATCCCTGCAAATATCCATGAGCTTCAGAATGCCGTTCAACGTTCGCTGACAAAGAACTTTCCAGATGGCTTCCACAGGATATATCAGAAGTGGATAGAACGACATCAGCTGTGTGTGAAAGCTAAGGGGAACTACTTTGAACATGAAATAGAATGCTAACTTGAAAGTAGAAATGTGGAGTAGCCACAGAACTATGGTTGAAATATAGACAGGACAGAAACTAACGTTAACAAAATCTACTATGCTGTGAACTTATAAAATTGCTCCGAAGAACCATATTCGCGTTACTATGACAACCACCATTTTGCTGTTATTCATTATATCTTGATCATTTTTTCAGGATAGTTAGAAAAGTGTCCGATGCTTCTCCACTGAAAATTTGAACGATGATAGACAAGAAATAAAAGTTTGAGAGCAAAATTAGCTTTACTTACTGAACGCCCTGTATATCCTTGAGAACAAAATATAATGTAATAAAAATGTTATGATTTTTCATATTACATATATTTCCTTGCATTCAAGTCTGAATCACTCAAACTTAACTAAAACTTAATTCATAACATATTATGATCATATGTTATATCATACAAGCAGTAATTTTCAATTCATTAAAAACATTTCTTAAATGAAACTTTCAATATAACATATACTACTTACACTTATTCCCAAAGAAATAAATAATAAGGGAGCCTTGGAGGCAACAACCTGACCAAATTTTACAGAAATACTTTCAGTATCATAAGTTATTGAATGATTTGAAGTGCAATACAGGATATATTCTGCTCGATAAATTCTGTATTGGAACGAGACAAAGTCGAGTGCCAATACAGAATATCGAGACAGAATATATCCTGTATAGCAAATTCAAATCATTCTATAACGTTTATCGTGTGATCCTCTGTATTGCTACTGAGAATGTCCCCTTCGTGCCAATATTTTCTGTATTGCGACGGAGATGATCAATGCGGACAATCTCAGTAGCAATACAGATTGGTACAGCACAAGAACTGACCAATCAGAAGGCTTCATTTTACAGATCATACGATAATAGTTATTATTATATCACTATCTAGCTAGCGACAGTATGATTGGTCAAAACAGGGTCACATGTCGTGGGATATCTGGCGATATTCAATGGCAATGCTAATCAGATAAGACAACCGTGAGATATCTAGCGATATCCCACGCTCCCGGGAATTTTCAAAGAATTTGTTTTCGTTCAGTGTAAATAATTAAGTTCAGTGTAAGTCAAATTGGCAGACGAACCGAGTAGATTCGTAAAAATATCTGAAGACTTAATGACTTAATAATATTAGGGATGTTTAGCTAGACAGTGATATAATAAAACAAATATTTCACTCTATTTTCGGTGAATACCTGTAGCACTTTCACAAGGTGATATTCCACTTGCCCTTCGGGCTTCGTGGAATATCACTTGTGAAAGATGTACAGGTATTCACCTCAATAGAGTGAAATATTTGTTCAATATTGTTTAGCTCACTTATTTTCAGCTCCTGGCAAAGTCCCTGTATACTTCATTTTTGTATTATTATATAATTAAAAATGTCACTTAATATTGATATTGTCCACTTAGTAAAGGGATCTTATACGTTAAATGCCACAATCAATCTTAAAATAAATACTTTATTCTAATTTCTGAGTTAACATGTAGGTACATCTTACATGTTCCAGGGAATCGATAACCTGAAGCTGAATGTATCAGTCAAAATTATCTTTCAATATTACATGATTGAACCAAAGAAGAAAATACAAGGCATTCACATGCAAAATGTCACCACCCACCATTTGTTACAAATGCTGACCATCAAATACCGTGAAACACCATCCACAATAAGGTTGGAAGACTACAACAATATGTCAACGTAATAAAGTAGTGAGTTACTATAACAACTTCTTTAGAATTCTTGAATGGCTTCATATTCTGCCATTTTTTCATCTCTGTCAGGATTCACTATTATGACAGCATGCTTATTTATCTCCAAGATCTATTAACAGGAAATTCTTTAAATGATCAAAATTGAGTACAGTAAAATCTGTCTTAGTGAACACTTCTCTCTAATGAACACCTGTTTCTAGTGGGTATCTTTCCCCAGTGACTTCTGTATAAATTATGCTCTCTGTAGTGAACACCTGCCAACACTGAACATTTTTTCTTGGGAAAAAATGCACTAAACACAGGTTTTACTTTACATCTATTAATATAAGATTGAGAAACATACACTAAATATTGGAAACATCGCACAATTACATAGAAGATTAGTGGACATTTTCAACAACGTTCAAACCTGTAAACATTATTATTCATTGTAAATCCCAGATAAAAGGGATACCATGAAATATAATTGTGGGTGTATTATAATACTAGCATTTAATGTCATAATTATCACCTTATGTGTGCCATAATTATGCATTATATCACTGTTATATTCCCCTCTCTCTGATAGTTATGCATATATTCTAGTCCAATACAGGAACTAATTTATCTGAGTAAGTCTGAAATACTTCCAAGGGCACAATTTTCTGTTTTTACTGAGATATCATTGAGTAACACTTTAATTGAACAATGTGGAAATTAAATGTCTAAATCTTATGTAGTTTTTCAACAGATGATAAATTGGATGTCAAAATATGTGCACCTGATACAGATAGCAGAAGAGTATAAAACATACTTTGTATGCATGAAAATCAGGATATATTTACAGCACATTTAATGGACCAAGTAGATCACTAAAAAACTCATCATTCTTGAGCTTTATAATCTCCACTAAGTCATTAAATAATGCTTATTTATCATGTAGTATTCCCTGGTTGATTTTTTTGTTTGATGCTACCTGTAATCCATAATAATATATAAATAATATATTAGTTCAAAATGAAACAAATATTACTATGCTTTTCTTCATGAGCTCACCAATCAGAGGGGACAATATAACACTGAATACTAAAACAAATATTTCACTTCACTATTTCCAGTGAACACCTATTGCATTTTCCATGATTCTACAAAATATATTATCATAGCTCTTCAGGCTTCAAAAAAGACCCATTAAACTCAATACTATTATCTCATTCAAGAGTCAATAGCAACAAGAGCTAGAATATACAGTGAAACCTGTATATCTGAATACCTCTACAATCCGAACACCTATCAATGTGAACACTTTTTCTCAGTCCAGAATTTCCAGAATTACATGTTTATAAAACCTTGAAATATGAACACCTGCTAAGCTTAACACTTTTGGCCATTATCCTGGTGTTAATTTGCTTCATATTACGACTATAACACGTATATATTTAACATTGAGTCATGACTCAATATTGTCACAATGACTCAACAGTGGCACAGTAACTCAACAGTGTCACAATGACTTAACAATGTCACAGTAACTCAACAGTGTCACAATGACTTAACAGTGTCACAATGATTATCAGGTGACCTTGACCAGAACACCTCCATTGAGGAGTGTATCGTCCACAGCTCTTCCAGCAAATACTACGATTAATGCTGTACATTCAGGGATCACTTTATGTACCTGGTTTATTCTTTTATCAACTTTTTTAAACAGCGACTGCAAAACATATAATCATTTAAGTATCTACTTTTTAAATATAATTTAGATCAATAAGTACATGTTCTTCCTAGAAGCAATCTTCTGATCAGCATCAGTTCTTTTAAATGAAGTCTCTTTGGTTGTAATACATTAATATTACACTACAGCACTCTCATGGTGTTTTGAGGCTTGTAACATACATTTTTGTAAAAAACCAATGATTCGAAATAAAATTGATTCAAAAATAAAATGCATTCAAATTTAATGCAAAGCTTTGGACAACTAGATTGCTAGTTAAGATGTCTAACTATTTCTTAATATCAGATTCTTTTTTTTTTATCATATACTGTTCCAACGTTCCAAAAATAAGAACAGAGTGCATTAAAAAACTAACCTGTCGTTCATCTTCTGTTTTAGTTTCTCTCTCACAATTATGAAGATTCAGCCAGCTAAGATTGAAGTTTGGATGTTTCTCTAGGAAACTCTGTACCCGTGTCTTGTCAGTTTGACACTCTACGATCGTGCAATTATCTTGCATGAAAGCCACTGTGCTGTTTGGCTCATCAATCAATAAAGCTGCAAGCAAAAAATAAGATCTTTAATTTACTGTTAAAATAGAGAGTTTTAAAGGATTAATGTTTTATTAAAGATGCTCTTATGTAATTTTAAGACAAAACATATCATTTATGGCACCATTCACGGACTCACGCCACAAAAGAGAATCAAGAAGGGACTCCAAAATGAGGCAAAAGTGGGTGACGGCACTTATGGCATACATTACTATCATGGAGCCTCACGAAATTGATGTAAATAATGTCTAATGCATTTTCATTTGAAGATGTAATGATGGAATAATAACAGAAAACACACCATATTGTGGCAAATTCGCAAATGCTAGTACAAATGATATCATCAGATATTGTGAATGTACTATTCAGACATGACCATGCTATATCAGAATCTCTCATCAAATAAGAATGCTGCATGCATAGCCATTCTGAATTTTCCGATATATGAAAGACCATTCATTATGCAATCTGCATCCAGGAATCTATTATGTTGTATTGTGACATCATATCTGGGAATGGCAAAAATGGCCTCAATTTCCGATTCTCTGAACAATGCTTTCATCTTTTTAGACTTGGAATAAATAATGATAGGCCATTCAATATGATGAAATTCTAAACTCATTAGACAGAATGTAAGTACAAATGCACTCCCCTTCGATCGTGTTTATTACGACATTCTGTCCAACTTGTGCTGAATTCAACATTATTGAATGAACTATCATTATTTATTCCTTAATTACAGCATATTGTATATTATAAAACTCTAATCAACAGTCTAGAAGAAGACACGTGCATAACAGAAACGTTGGCCCAGTAAACAGGAAATGGTTGACAAGCTTGATACTCCACATAATCAGGCCTGTCAACTTGGGAACACCTAACATGAGTGACTTGGAAATGTTGAACACCTCCCCTCAAAATGTGGACACCTTGGTCCAAATCTGAACACCTTGATCCAAATTTTGAACACCTTGGTTTAAATTTCATTACATCTTGCGTACATTTTTTTTCCGGCGTTCATATTTTTGCTGTGTAGACGATCTTTTTTAGAAATTTTTCTACAGAAATATTTTTGCTTGACAATTACCAGGTAAAATGCGGGGGGTAGTTACAAAAATTTTGAACGGAATGCGTGACATATTCGTAATTCGCGTGAAAAGTCCGAACAAAATGCGTACATTTTTTTTCCGGCGTTCGTATTTTTGCTGTGTAGACGATCTTTTTTAGAAATTTTTCTACAGAAATATTTTTGCTTGACAATTACCAGGTAAAATGCTTATTTGCGTGACATTTTCTGTCATGCAAAAATAACTGGCGTGACTTCAAATTCTTCAGCAAATGCGTGACAAATACGCAAATTGCGGGACAGTTGACAGGCCTGCATAATGTACTCTATTAAATGAGTTTCAGTGTTTTATGAGGACACAGTAATATCTTTTTTCAATGTACATATTTGGTATGTACTGTACATGCAAATCTATAATATATCTTTCGAGAAAAGATTAATAGGTCATGTTAAAACAATTGTAATATAATGTATTTTACATTCCCTTATGAAATAAGTTTTTGTTAAAGTTCCCATTCTTCAGCATGTTGTCGTAGTTTTTCATTCTTGATTGCCAAATTTCTCTATTTTCAGGTGTGCAGCTAATTGAAAGTAATAAAGTTTTGTTCAGTAATATCAAGTCCGCCAAAAGGGAAGACAACCCCCCCCTTTTCCAGAAAGAATTTGTATTTCCAAAAATATTTGTATTAAATGATGTAAATATTGCTCTCAGATATGCTCAGAATGTACCAAAAAGGATCTAAATTTCTGCACTGTGACACGATGCTTTGTTTGGGCATGTTAGAGGCTTCCCCTTCCCCTGGGGAGTTCACTGTATATAAACTTTGACGGGGATCCTCGGCACACATAGGGTACCTTTCAACCCAAATTTAGGATCTTGTATGAGAATGCCCCCAAAATCTTTTGAGGTATGGCAATGGTCGGATTTTTCCATTTTCTGGTATGAGAATGGTCATGGAAAATATGTTACCTCTCACTTGTGGTATGGCATTGGTCTAATCGTTACACATATCCTTAATTTGAGGTTGTTTTGGATCATTTTTCTAAAAGATCTGCCTTCTTCCAGGGGCTTTAGACATTTTGAATGCTTTTGGTCTTATATTTGGATATTTGGTATGGTATTGGGTCTTATATTTGGACATTTAGGATGGCTTTTGGGCATTATTTTGGTTGGTATGGGAACACATTGAAATTGGACAGATTGGCAAGAGAATATATTGATATCTGAGGGTTCAGCCTATGACCCTCAAAGAATTTTGTATACAGTGTACCCCCCGGGTCGCCCCCCCCCCTCTTAGGAAATCCTTCAGACAGGCCTGAATATCATATTAATCATAAACCCAGTAGGCTTACATGACTTGATAAAAAGAGAAAGGTCACTATAAAATATCAAATAAATGTCCATCTATGATATGAGCTCATCTGATAAGAAGAATCACAACTGTTATTTTTATGCACCATTCCTCTGACCTCCTTTGGGGAGGATCAAGCATTAAACATACAAATTATTGTCCAAGGTGTTGGGATTTTGACATAGTTATATAATTTGTCCTAAAGAGCAGAGACTTTTGAAATGCATACTAGTACTAGTTAATCAGAATTTTGACTATTTTTGATCTGCTTTTATTGCACACAGGATGAAGATATCAGAACTCAATAGGTTGTTCCCTTGGTAGGGAATTTCAATCCAGTTGTAAGTTTTGTCAAAATCCCTAACACATCAAACGTGGGTGGATCTCATACAAAGCTTAGAATGGTGATGATTATCACATACTTCTCACCTTAATGTCCATAAATAACATGATACCTCCATTGTCTAGATATTACACAGACACAAATGTTAAATCTCCACCTCCACAATCTACTGAGCCCTTATAAGGTGAAATATTGTTTAAGAATATATTTGAAATTCAATCTCATTTATTAAGCATTGGTTATGGGACTTGATGCATACGTTTCAAATTAAAGCTTTTTAAGTTTTTAATTTTAGTGGCCATTTAATGTTTTTTTATCATTTTAATTAGTAATTTATACATCAACAAAATAAAATGTTAAGAGGCACTATTTGTAAAAAGGGGCAGGGGGTGGTACAGGTCAAATTTTACATTTCAAAAATTTTATTCTTATTTGATCATTAGGAAGCCAAAATATTAAAATAACAATTGAATCAAGTGCATTAGATAACCTCTATATCGAAATCCTGTCTACTAGACTAAGTAAGGATGCCTAGCTTTATTCCTTCCGCAAAAGCTGTATCCACCACCTCGTTGTTGAGATAAATAAAACTAGTTTCTAAAATCGAATTTAGGTGAAAAATAACACATGTCATTAAAACCAAATTAGATTCCTGACTGTAGTATTTTTACTTGTATGTACATATTATCTCATATACCAAATAAGAAGTTTTGTGGGGCGACCATCTGTGACACATAGTATGAATATGTAATGTTTGATTGACAGTTCCCGGTAGACACTCCTATTCTCCGGGGCTATACAGTGTACATGCATACCTCAGTTTTTAACTGATGCTTCGGTAGAATGCATGTCCTTCTACAATATTGCCAGTATATAATTACATATTATTTAAGTTTATATTGATTTAATAGTACACATGGACATTATATTTATTATTTGTACTAAAATTATTAATTACACTTTGGACGATTAAAAGTGCCACCCATTCCCCTCCTCCACCCATCAGTTTTATACACCAAACTTGTGAATTTAATAAATATATTATATAATATTATTTACATCCAAATCGTATCATTATATTGTCTATTGATTCACAACAAGCAGATCTAGGGAGTAACACAAATACCAGTGTAACCTACCAGTTTTGTTTTGCTTTCCTATGATGTCAAACAAATTACACCGAGGTCGACTCTTGAAGGTTTTGAAAAAATTGACTTGTTTCTCCATCAACTCCTTTGTTTGCGCTTCTGAGAGATTTGTGTCAGAGTCATTAGGATCAGAAGTATCACATTCCTCAGATGCATTGCCCTCATTGTTATCGTCATCAGGTTTTAGTGTTTTGTAGGAGGGCTCTTCTTCTGAGATTGTTTTCAATGGAGCTATATTTCCACCTTGTATTACATCTCCAAATGTTGGGTCTGAAAAAGTCAGTTACATGAATACAACAGATACATATTGCATGCAAGTCTTTCATACACGGTGACACGTTTTATATCTCACGTGTAACTGTTTTATACAAGGCGACACATCTATTCTTTAAAACTTGCACATTTTCTACTAATTGATGTATATTATACTCTACAAGTATCTTACACATATCTATTACATACATGAAGTACATCAACTTAAAACTCATGCCAACATTTTTCAGCGATAAAATTGTGTTAGTATTCAAAAGCAGGCCCGTAGCCAGGGGGGGGGGAGTTCGCAGAGTTTGGGCGAAAATTCTTTCAAAATCATGCAGTTTTTCACCATTTTGAGCACTTCTCAAGTGAATTTAGCCATATTTGGGCCAGAATTGTCAAATGAGAACCCCCCTTGGAAATTTTTGAAAAATGAACCCCCACTTGGCAAATCCTGGCTACGGGCCTGAAAAGTATGATGTTCTTGGGGATATACTACACCCACTTGGATGTAAATATACTAGATAGTGGATATGTAAAATCCTGAGGTTTAAAGACGAGGTTCTGTAATAACAAAACATGTGCAAGCTTGTCAATTCTTGATGAGATGATTATTTTTTATCAAGTCAAGGATGCAATAAAGAAGCATTACCAAAATGTTCAATCAAGGAAGTACAATGTTGCACATGTATGACTGTAAGAGTTTTTCCAGTAAGAGTCTATGGCAATACATGTATATCATATTTCACCTTTTCATGTCAAACTGAGTTATAAAAAGTGGAGAACAGCTTCAAATGAATGAAACCCCATACTTAACATTTGTGACTTAACAGACTGATGTCAAAAGTACATCTCATCTGTTACACTTTAGGATGAAAAAAGGTGTATCGTTACAGGGTAAATATGGCTCAATTAGAGTTAGTCACAATATTAACTGACAATTTACTTGATAACTGCTGAGTAATAACATGATAATAATTCATTTAAAAACACAACCCTGGATTGTTTTGATTTAAAAAATAAAATCTAGCTGTTCTCAAGGGGTGAAAACGCATATAGAGTATTTTTGTGGAGTACACAGGAGATACATTACAAAAATCCCCATCTTTATTCAAAAATTAGGTAGGTGAAGTTTTATTTTGTCACCTGTGAATCTATTTTCAATATTTCCTAACCTGTCAATAGGCTCATCACATTCCTAGCATCAGGGAAACATTCAATTGTCACAAAGTGACATCCGGCCAAAGTTCTAGTTTTCCAATAATGTTGGGTTAACAATGGAAATTTTGTTGATAATAAAAATATTTCTTTGGTCAACTCCACATTTTAATAAAACTAGATGGGTGGCTATCGAGTAATAACGATGGAATGTTTCCCTCAAAATACTGAGAACGTGATGGGTGTGTTGACAGGTTAGGAAACATTACGCAATGTTCACAGACTACCAAATTAAACTACACCTACCTGCTTTTTGAATGAAAATACTCTACGCCTGGTTTCCACCCCCTGGTTCTAAAACAATAAAACCTAGTTGTTCTAAAACCTACAATAAATTAAGTTAACCTAAAGAGCCCTTATGATTTATAATACACAGCTGTTATAAGTTTTAATCTTCTGAATCAATTTCTCCCCCTGTCAGACAGTAGAATAGCTGCTAATTGCATGTGGTAATGTTATATGTGTCTAAGTGAATTCGCCATTTATCAAAATGAATATGTTTTGAAGTGCTAATTTAACTATAGACATTATATATATACTCAAGGCTACAATTAATAAGGAGCCAGACAATTCATTGTCATATCAAAAATATCTTTTTAAAACAGTATCTTGTACTATATAACTGAATTTCTAAATTTCAGTCTCGGAGTGAATAACAAAAGAATGTAAAACTTAATACAAGTACATGTATGTTTATATGTACAGGTAGTATTAATTACATGATTGGTTGGTTAGCTTCATGATCAACAAGAAAACTGACAGCATTTGAATTAATGACAATCATATTCAGATAAAGTAAACCTACTAAAGATAATTACATGTACTCTGGACAATATGAGCTCTACATACATGGCCTCTGGAGTTTCGATACCTTACAGCATTCAACACAAATTAGTTCCATCACGAAAAAATCACACATAAAAAATCTCTGTAACTTACCATGCTTTAATTTCAGTAGAACAAGCTGTAATGTGGCTGATGAATCTTCAATTGAGTTGTGACCATCTGAATTACCTTGGATATCACGTCCTAAAAAATGACCTGCTAGACGCTTCAAACCCGTCTTTCTTCTACGAAATCCTGATAAATTGTAGATAACACTTGTATCTATGATATACGGATGGAACATCTAAAAATAAAATTGTCCATTTTCTGTTTCATCAATTTATTTCCATTATAGGGTGTCCAGAAAGTAAAGATACAAACACTCTAATTTTAAGAGATGTGGGTTTTTTGTAATGAAATTGCTACGGATTGTAAAGGAACTATATTAAAACACATCTACCAACTTTTATAACATATAGTCTAACCCTGTTAAAGTTATGATTGTCATGGTTAGGGTAGTCAGGGGTATGCGGAGCAGTTCCATGATATCGCTAAATTGTCATAAATTGCTAAAATTTAACCATTTAAAACAGTGTTTATTATTTCCTATCAATGTTTTGTTTTGTTTAATATTGTATTCTTGCTGCCATAGTATTTTCTTTAGTATAATGATATCATTGATACATATCAGAACTATGTAATTCGCATTTAGCAAAGAAAACAAATCTTACAATTGAATGTCTTGACATTAAACCTTTTTGTACAATGACCCATATTACTCTGATAATGTCCCGTTAGACTTCTACATTAATGAATAGCAATATTTGTTAGAAGTTCAACATGAAAATGAGACTCTGCTTGAAGCCAATTTTATCAGTAATCTGAGAGATGGACAGCAGCGCTTTTGTCAGGTCTTTGAATCTCTGGGCAAGATGCACCACGAATGTTTAGATAATGTTGGAAAATACATGATACTGGATAAATGTAGTAATGTCAAATGACCAAATCATATGACAGTACTACTTCTTTTGCTGTTGTGGTACATGATTTGATGTATAATAGCAACAGATGATGGTCAAGATGATATGAGCAGGAGGAAAGAATAATAAAACATAATTGTGACGCTGCTCCACATACCCGGGACTCCTACCATAACAACCATAACTTTTTCATTTTGAAACAATTTGTCATGACATTTGCAGGATAAATTGTTATGATGTCATTCTACCATCTGTAGTAATTTCATCTCACAACAGGTAAATCTATTGAAATTAGAGCATTTGTATCTTTACTTTCCGAACACCCTGGACATGATGATACAATGTCAATAAATGTTTTTATTCATGAATGAATCACACATTATGAATAAGTGCAAAATTTCTGTATCATGTCAAAGGTTATTAGCAATTAGCAATAAATAAAACAAGGTATCAACATGACAAAATGTCACCACATAGTTGCTCTCAATATTGTTACAGGTGCGATCGCCAACCACCATCACAAAAAATGGTGACCATAACAATATGTCACCACTTTTTGGTGGTGACATCATAAGACCATGCATGATTGTTTTCTTAGGGAATGGTTAGTTGCAATCATCTCAGTTCTTAACACCAAAGCAAAACTTTAAATCGAGCTGTTTAAGGTTTAAGGTTTTTACCAGAGAATGAAGAAGCATTATAAAAAACAATACTCAAGGGGCGGGGAGGAAAATTCTCAATAAATGGTGTATAGTTGGTTTGGCAGCATTTTCAGTTAGGGGAGAGTCTTGGATGAAACTTCCACCTAGGTGATAGCTTCACAGAGTGGTAGGAAGTTCTTTTTTTTTGAGGAGTTAGCCCCCCACCCCCCAAAAACACCCCACCCGGGAAAAAAAATTGTTCACAGTAAATAACCTTAGATATTTTGATGTTTGTAAGTGACATACATAGATATTATATATATGAATCATTTGCAGTATAATTGATGCTGATTGCTCCTAAGGAAATTGAATATTAGTACAAAGTGTGTAATCCAGGGGGCAAATTCGTGACTCATTTTCTTACTATTTTGATCCTTTTCAATTAGACACTGTAAGAGGTTGGAAAAATTCATGGGAAGTGCCCAATAGTAGGGTTAGTAAACCTGAAAGATGCAAAGCCATTGAAAAGGTAGGAGCTGAGAAAAAAATTGTTGATTTTTCGAAAAATTTAACATTTTTGACAGTTGGATTTTGTGTATGACTATAGCTGACCCCTATAGTTTCTAGATACATCCCTCTATAATGATATGTATGGTTTTATAGTATGGAACTAAGATGTAAAACATAATTTAGATGGGATTTAAGGAAGTTAAAGGTTTTAAACAAGTCCAAAATTTGAAAAATTGTAAATATAAGGTTTCAAATTTACGAATTCCAGGTATAGCCATGGCTGACCCCTATAGTTTCTAGATCCATCCCTCTATGATGATATTTATGGTTTTATAGTGTGGAACTAAGATGTAAAACATAATTTAGATGGGTTTTAAGGAAGTTAAAGGTTTTAAACAAGTCCAAAATTTGAAAAATTGTAAATATAAGGTTTCAAATTTACATATTCCAGGTATAGCCATGGCTGACCCCTATAGTTTCTAGATCCATCCCTCCATGATGATATTTATGGTTTTGCCATGTGGAACTAATATGTAAAACATAATTTAGATGGGTTTTAAGAAAGTTTAAGGTTTTAAACAAGTCCAAAATTTGAAAAATTGTGAATATAAGGTTTTAAATTTACGAATTTCAGGTATAGCCACGGCTGACCCTTATGGTTTTTACATCCATACCTCTATGATTAAATATACAGTTTTAGAGTGTGGGACTAAGATTTAACATATCCAAAATGAATTTTATTGAAGTTTAAGGTTATAAACAAGTCCGAAATTTGAAGAATTGTAAATGTTAGGTTTCAAATTTATGAATTTCAGGTATAGCCAAAGATGACCCTTATGGTCTTTATACCTCAGGGATGAAATATATAGTTTTAAGAGTATTTAACTAAAATGTAAAAAATACCTAAAATGAGTTTGAAGGAAGCTCAAGGTTTTCAACAAGTGCAAAATTTGAAAAATTGATCTAAAAATTGGGCTCAAATTTACATTATTCAGGTACAGCCTTGAATGAACCCTGATAATTGAAGGTTATGAGCATAATAGTATACAAATAAAAAATTAGGCAGTCACTATTTGTTTTATTATATACCCTATACTGACTCTTGTCCCGTTTCCTCTGCGAAGGCCAAAAAGGCTTAGAAAGCCCCCTCCCCGGGTCCATTGTTAGCATTATAAGCTGTGACGTCATCAGATGCTCAACAGAAATTTTTGCCTCTGAGACTCTCACTTGACAAATTCAATCGCGTTTAACATGCGGAATAGATTATCATAACACTTGAAATTACACAGACGTATTGAGCTTAGGGAATTTTATTCACGTTGCTTATATTGTATCGTTCACGCACGTCTGTCATGGTGAACGGAGTTGATTTGTGTTTGTGCTCATCCTCCATTCTGTTTTTCCTCTGCGCAGTGATGATGCGCAGACGTTTCCAAGGGTAATAGAAGTTGCAATCGTGACGTCAGCGGGCAATAGTTCAAATGTATATTCCCGCTGACGTCACATTTGAGGGAATATAACTTTCCGAGGGAAATAGTAAATCTATTTCGGAACACGTGACTAGGTATTGACCAATCAGGACTAGTGTTACATATTGGGTATATAATAATATCAACTATGATATCATAGCTTAGAGACCAGGTGTAGAATATATACCTGTTGCAGCAGTTAGTCTGCTGCATATAGATGGAGTGAAAAGTCGTGTACTACAGTAAAATCTCTCTAATCTGAATGCTACTGGTATTTGGACCAGCTAAAAGCATTCTAATTAGGAGTGTTTGAATTTTGAGGTTTTTACATCTACAATACAAGTTCTGGATTTTGAAGAAATATGAATGCATTCTCAATGAAAAATATTAATAATATTTATACTGACCACATAAAAAGCTCAATAGCATTCCAAAATCCAATTCAAAAGTTTTGATATCAAAACAATTCAGTCTTAAACTGACAATATTTGAGCAATTTTGTAAGAAATATGTGATATTTGGTAAAAAGAGTTCAAGTTAGACAGGTTAATTTTTCAAATATGAGTGTTCACTATTCGAAGTAAGAGGTATTCAGATTTCAATTTTTTAAACCTAGGAGTCAATGGGAGGAAAAATTGGACTGGGAAAAGTGTTCAGATTGGTTGGTGTTCAGATTAGTCAGGTGTTGGGATGATTGATAGGTATTCACAATAGTCAGATGTTGGGGATATACAGGTTTCACTGATGATATATCATTTATACAAAATGATGAACTAGAACTACAGTACTAGGTGCATTTGATAATTTTTACCACAATGTTAATACTATGTCAGGAAAAGAAAGCACCCATGACACTTTGCTTGTACAACTTGGAAATCGACAACACTTTAAGATTTGATAGAGGTGTCTACCAAATGAGTAATCCACATAAATTCAAATACAAGCACTTGGCATGCTATTCCCTATGATGCTATTTATAGATTTTTAGTCAATGTTATTGATCAGCTTATTGGTTTCATTTCTTTCTCTAGAATCTAAAATTGACCTTGGGTTTATGAGAGTAGTAAATTGGAATGCAGTTATATGGAGTATTGAATTGGCTGGATCTTTATGGGACACAAGTTGCCTAGCTATGTGTGAGTAAACTATGATCTTATATGGATACAAACAGTTCGTTTGACAATGATCATCTATCTTATCTGTAAAATCAGAACTTAAAAAGGGGTTTGAAATGGAGATCGATGAAACCATACCACAAATTGATAAAACTTTCGTGACCGATGCAATGGCTATGACAAAAGGAAAATTAAGATTAACTTATATGTTGAAATTTGGAGAGTTTTGGAAAGCTATATTTCACTACTCCATCAAATCTAGTAAAGGAGCCCAAAGAATAGATTTCATATTAGACTCCTAGTAGTCTCTATCACTAAAGGATTCTGAAAGAATGAGAAGAATGGATGCTTCCCCTCCTGAACTTTAATCCAAAGAAGAAATTACACCATTACCTAAAAATATGAATACCTTTTGGCCAAGTCATATAATACAAATTTTCAAAGATTACAAAGGAAATTAATGAAACAGCATTCTAAAAGTGTGCCAAATGTCAAGATTGTTTTAAGTGGAACTATTGGAGAGAACTAAAATATCTGTGAAAATGATAACTGAAATCCCCTGTTAAATTCCACTCTTGAAGAGGCTGATTTTAAACTTATTCACTCTGTTTTACATTCAGCAGGAGAACATGTGGGACTGCAGTAATTGCAGTGGAGTTCCTAATCTCATTGCACTAACGGGAGTTTCTAGGCCCAGCGGGGTATGATCCTTATAATCCTTACATGTATTTTCCCAAATAATTACTGTTGCCTGATGACAAGTTGTTTTATTGGCAGTGAAGTGATTATAATTTGATGATTTATAATAATATTTTGTATTAGGAGATGATCATTACTTAATAACAGTATGGGCATAACAAAATATAGAGAAATCATGTTTCTTTTAATTAACCATGTCTTAATGTATTTTGACAATGTAGAACATTACATCGAACATGTTGATATGAAAAAGTAAAAATGCTATATCACATAATAAATATCATCAGATAATAATTAATTAGTTATAATCCATTTAATCAATCAATTACTACACTGTATACGATATCCCTAAGAGCAGTTACACTTTAAGGGGGGGGGGGATTTATCTAATTTCTAAGCTAAAAAGTCATACATTCAAAAAGAGAGACATCCAAGGCAATACCTGAAATCGTAAAGGAGGACTGAAAGTATCGCAACAGATTTAGGACAGTCACACGTTGGATTTTTGCTATTTTCTGAGGATTTGAGGAGGTGCATATGTTAGGCCTATGCATTTCCTCCAGGAAAAGCACTCATAGAGATGATAAAATAATTTCTATTTGAGACAAGGTGCAAACAACCCACTCACATGCATCAATATGTTGTGTTTTGACACACAGTTAACCCCTTTAAAGAAATAATGCATTCCATCAGGGGTTTAAAAGATATCAAATATGGGTGACCAAAATTAAGCTGAAAGTAATGGAGCACATGAGTTTTCCCTATGGGAAAATAACAGGAAAATATTGTTTTCTGCTTTATTTAAAAGAAATTTATTATTCCTTTTTATGGGTTAACTATGTCTCAAAACGCTACATATTGATGCAACAAAAATTGAAAAAGTAGGGGTAAAAGGGCTTGAAAATCAGGACAACATTTCCGAAAAAACATGTGTGTGGATTGTTTGCACCTTCGCTGTCTCAAAGTCCAAACTATTTTATCATCTCTAAGAGTTCTTTTCCCGTAGGTAATGCAATGGCCTAACATATGCACCTGCTTAAATCCTCAGGAAACAGACAAAATCTAACATATGAGTGTCTGAAATATGTTGCGATACTTTCCGTGCTCCTTTGAGACCTGATATTTCTCAATTTTTCAAACATTGCACTTGTTAAAATTCTTAAACTTCCTTAAAATTCATCTTCGGTATGTTTTACTTCTTAGTTTCACACTCTAAAAATATATGTTTCATCATTGAGGTATGGATGATTTTGGACTTGTTTAAAATCTTTAACTTCCTTAAAACCCATCTAAATTATGTTCTACATCTTTAGTTCCATACTACAAAACCATAAGTGTCACCAAAGAGGGATGGATTAAGAAACTATAGGGGTCAGCCATGGCTATACCTGGAATTCGTAAATTTGAAACCGTATATTTACAATTTTTCAAATTTTGGACTTGTTTAAAACCTTTAACTTCCTTAAAACCCATCTAAATCATGTTTTACATCTTAGTTCCATACTATAAAACCATAAATATCATCATAGAGGTATGGATCTAGAAACTATAGGGGTCAGCCATGGCTATACCTGGAATTCGTAAATTTGAAACCTTATATTTACAATTTTTCAAATTTTGGACTTGTTTAAAACCTTTAACTTCCTTAAAACCCATCTAAATTATGTTTTACATCTTAGTTTCACACTATAAAACCATAAATATCATTATAGAGGGATGGATCTAGAAATTATAAGGGTCAGCTATAGTCATACACAAAATCCAGCTGTCAAAAATGTCAAATTTTTCGAAAAATCAACAATTTTTTTCTCAGTTCCTACCTCTTCCATGGCTTTGCATCTTTCAGGGTTACTAACCCTGCTATTAGGCACTTCACATGAATTTTTCCAACCTCTTACAGTGTCTAATTAAAAGTTAGAATCAAAATAGTAAGAAAATGAGTCACGAATTTGCCCCCTGGGGTACATACTTTGTACTAATTTTCAAATTCTTTAGGAGTTATCAGCATCAATTATACTGCAAGTGATTCATATATATAATATCTATGTATGTCACTTACAAACATCAAAATATCTAAGGTTATTTAGTGTGAACAATTTTTTCCCCAGGGTGGGGTGTTTTTGGGGGGTGGGGGGCTAACTCCTAAAAAAAAAGAACTTCCTACCACTCTGTGAAGCTATCACCTAGGTGGAAGTTTCATCCAAGACTCTCCCCTAACTGAAAATGCTGCCAAACCAACTATACACCATTTATTGAGAATTTTCCTCCCCGCCCCTTGAGTACAATAACTAAAAGGCGATTGGTACATTTATAAACAGGTCACTCTTGAATGTCATTAATTAATATGCATTTGACTTTTGGTTTGGATTTATAGTAGAAAAGTATTTATTGGAATATAAAAATACAGTCAACAATAGTCACATAATGGTACCTACTTTGAGAACCATTTTTGTTGATTATCGACATTAACAATTCATAGTGCCAGAATCAAGTGCCCTTCAGCTAGAATAACACTAAATTGACAAGTGGGCGATCACAATCATAAAAATAGCTCACCGAAGGAGCTAGTGATAATAATAATGCCAGAATTAAATGCCCTTGAATAACACTATTGTTATTGGTCATTGCTCATTGGCTATCCTATAGCAAAGATGATTCAGAGAATCTAATGTGATATAACATATTACCTGGATGCAACCTTCAAACAATAGTCTTACATAAAGGTATGTCTTCTGATCAGTTTTCTGGTAATACCCAAATAAATAAGCTAAGCAAAAAGACATAATGCTACAGTGAGGGGCAATACAATTTAAGAACATGCAATTCACTTTATTTTAGATTTTGAAACCTGTTTTTTTTACAAAGCTCACACTAGTACAACAATGGCCTATCATTTTTGAATTTACTACCACGAGCTTAGTTTGAAAATAAAATTAGTTAAACTAGTACTGTCACAACCTTTTCAAAAGAGAAATTCCTGACCACATGATGTTTTTTATATTTCTTCTGGTAGGCATTTGAATTTGAAAAATTATTGCCCCATTAAATACATTACACATTTCCTGTATTGAAAGTGATGCCACCACCTACCATTTGTTAAAGATGCCAACCGCAAAACACCAACCACTGAACATCAACTGCTGAACATTTCCATAAAAAACTTGGAGACAATAACAATATGTCAACATTTGTGGTGGTGACATAATAAGAGTATGAAAATGGATACATACTTTAATTGCATGTAGATCAGAACTGATGGACTGGCCACAAAGGATGGCATCAGCAGGGAGAATCTCCTGGATCTTTCTCTGCACATCAGACAACCGGATCGTTACTGGATCCAGCATTTTCTTTGTTATGCCTGAATACCTGAACAAAACAAGCTGACACTGTTATCCCCAAAAACATCATGACTCATCAGAATAACAATATTGAAGGTGCTCTTCTTGAAGAAATTAAGATTTCTGGATTTTTCCTTTTTGCTCATCATCTTTGTTTCCATGATATTCTCTTGACCCATATCAATAGTCCGCTTTTCAGTCACAAATTGTTCTCCATTTAAGTTTCAAAAATACATTTTTAAATTTGTTTTGTCACATTTTAGGATGAACCATCTCACACTATGGGGGGATCATTTTGAGAACTATGTTCATATTTCTAAAAAGTAATATTTTATTAAATCTTTAAAGACTATGATAAAAATTCACCTCAAAAATCATTCCTCTACATGTACACATTTTTCACTTTTGAATATTTCCTCAATTTTATCTAACATTGAAACACTTGAATGTAGATTTGACTTACCTTGTTACATAATCTATGATTCTATTGAATGGTTTAACTAACGTATCATACACAGTTTCCAATTTTTCATTAACCACAGAAACTCTAGTAACTTCTTGTCCAGCTTTTGTGCGACACTGCAAACAGAAAATATCGATAAATTATTGGGAAGAAGGTGCAGAAACCTGGAAAAGTAATATTGGTGGAAAAAGTGATATTGGTAAAAGTGATATTGGAATAAGTAATATTGATAAAAGTGATATTGGTAAAAGCTATATTGGAAAAAGTATTACTGATGATAAAATTAATATTGGTAAAAGTAATGTTGATGGTAAAAGTAACACTGGTAAAAGTAACATTGGTAAAAGTTTATTGGTAAAAGTTATATTGGGAGGGTCCAGAAGATCCAGGGACCCTGTTACATATTGAAAAATAATTTGGATGCTCAGATAATTTCAACGTTACGTAAGCATTTATTAAAAACACCACAAATTAGCCTTACATGTGTGAAAAGGAAATTGTATAGTTTATGAACAAGGGTCCATTTTATTAAAAATGCTCCATTATATTATGAAATATGTTATTTTTGTTAGGAATAATGGTAGTAATTTGGTAGTAACATTTGATTACAATGATTATGAGCAATGGTATACTTTATTAAAAATGCACCATTGCACAATAAAAATATGCTATTTATCTATAATTATGAAAAATACACAACTGTTCATACCCATGTTTGTAGTGTAATCTGTATGAAAAAGCCAATAATAATTCCGATACTAAGGAGATCTGTGTGATACCAGAAAAGCACCTGTATCAACACATGCAAAACAATGGACTTGTATTAACTCACGATACAGAAAAGCACCTACTATCTCACAATCAATACCAAACCAGAACAACGGCAACGCCAAAGCGTAGCGAATCCCATCGAACATTTTTCAAAAGGGGCACCTTCTACCAAAAGTGTCATTAGACAGTGTGCAATGCTTATAATATTCACATATCAAATATGAACAAAATCGCTCTACTACTTTTCGAGTTATAGTAAAATACGATAAAATAGTGGCCATTTTTCAAAATGGCCGCCTTCTACCAAAAGTGTCATTAGACAGTGTGCCATGCTTATACGTATTCACGTACCAAATATGAACAAAATCGCTCCACTACTTTTCGAGTTATAGTAAAAATAAGTTAAAATGGCAGTCATTTTTCAAAATGTCCGCCATTTTTCAAAATGGTTGCCTTCTACCAAAAGTGTCATTAGACAGTGTGCCATGCTTACAGTATTCACATACCGAATATGAACAAAATCGCTCTACTACTTTTTGAGTTATAGTAAAATACGTTAAAATGGCGGCCATTTTGAAAAATGACCACCCTCTACCAAAAGTGTCATTAGACAGTGTGCCATGCTTATATGTATTCACATACCAAATATGAACAAAATCGCTCCACTACTTTTCGAGTTTTAGTAAAATAAGTTAAAATGGTGGCCATTTTTCAAAATGTCCGCCATTTTTCAAAATGGCCGCCTTCTACCAAAAGTTTCATTAGACAGTGTGCCATGCTTATATTATTCACATACCAAATATGAACAAAATCGCTCCACTACTTTTCGAGTTACAGCAAAAATCGTAAAATAATGAGTAAAGGCCGCCATTTTTCAAGATGGCTGCCATGTGCTTTTTTAATATCTACATTTCTAGCTTTATTAATGTCCTATATAATTTTTTTACATTTAAAACATATTGCTATTACAGTTTTACATATTGCACCTAAATTACTGTAAAATCGGCACTAAAATGGCCGCCATTTTTAAATGAGCGGCCATTTTGAAAATCGGCTTTCGAGCAGAACTTCTACCCCCATAGGGTATATGTGTACAAAATATGAATAAAATCGGGCCAACGGTATTTGAGTTATTGCCCGGACGGACGGATGGACGGACAGACGGAGGCGTTCCCTATATCCCTCCGAACTTTGTTCGATGGGATAACAATGGACTTGTATCAACACATGATAATAATAAAAATGCACCTACCATCTCACAATCAATACCAAACAATGGACTTGTATCAACACATAATAGAAAAGCACCTACCATCTCACAATCAATACCAAACAATGGACTTGTATCAACACATAATAGAAAAGCATCTACCATCTCACAATCAATTCCAAACAATGGACTTGTATCAACACATGATAATAGAAAAGCACCTACCATCTCACAATCAATACCAAACAATAGACTTGTATCAAAACATGTTAATAGAAAAGCACCTACCATCTCACAATCAATACAAAACAATGGACTTGTAATAGAAAAGCACCTACCATCTCACAATCAATACAAAACAATGGACTTGTAATAGAAAAGCACCTACCATCTCACAATCAATTCCAAACAATGGACTTGTATCAACACATAATAGAAAAGCACCTACCATCTCACAATCAATTCCAAACAATGGACTTGTATCAACACATGATAATAGAAAAGCACCTACCATCTCACAATCAATTCCAAACAATGGACTTGTATCAACACATGATAATAGAAAAGCACCTACCATCTCACAATCAATACAAAACAATGGACTTGTAATAGAAAAGCACCTACCATCTCACAATCAATTCCAAACAATGGACTTGTATCAACACATGATAATAGAAAAGCACCTACCATCTCACAATCAATACCAAACAATAGACTTGTATCAACACATAATAGAAAAGCACCTACCATCTCACAATCAATTCCAAACAATGGACTTGTATCAACACATGATTATAGAAAAGCACCTACCATCTCACAATCAATACCAAACAATAGACTTGTATCAAAACATGTTAATAGAAAAGCACCTACCATCTCACAATCAATACAAAACAATGGACTTGTAATAGAAAAGCACCTACCATCTCACAATCAATTCCAAACAATGGACTTGTAATAGAAAAGCACCTACCATCTCACAATCAATTCCAAACAATGGACTTGTATCAACACATGATAATAGAAAAGCACCTACCATCTCACAATCAATTCCAAACAATGGACTTGTATCAACACATGATAATAGAAAAGCACCTACCATCTCACAATCAATACAAAACAATGGACTTGTAATAGAAAAGCACCTACCATCTCACAATCAATTCCAAACAATGGACTTGTAATAGAAAAGCACCTACCATCTCACAATCAATTCCAAACAATGGACTTGTATCAACACATGATAATAGAAAAGCACCTACCATCTCACAATCAATACAAAACAATGGACTTGTAATATAAAAGCACCTACCATCTCACAATCAATTCCAAACAATGGACTTGTATCAACACATGATAATAGAAAAGCACCTACCATCTCACAATCAATTCCAAACAATGGACTTGTATCAAAACATGTTAATAGAAAAGCACCTACCATCTCACAATCAATTCCAAACAATGGACTTGTATCAACACATGATAATAGAAAAGCACCTACCATCTCACAATCAATACCAAACAATAGACTTGTATCAAAACATGTTAATAGAAAAGCACCTACCATCTCACAATCAATACCAAACAATGGACTTGTATCAACACATGATAATAGAAAAGCACCTACAATCTCACAATCAATACCAAACAATGGACTTGTATCAACACATGATAATAGAAAAGCACCTACCATCTCACAATCAATACCAAACAATAGACTTGTATCAAAACATGTTAATAGAAAAGCACCTACCATCTCACAATCAATACCAAACAATGGACTTGTATCAACACATGATAATAGAAAAGCACCTACCATCTCACAACCAATACCAAACAATGGACTTGTATCAACACATGTTAATAGAAAAGCACCTACCATCTCACAATCAATACCAAACAATGGACTTGTATCAACACATGATTATAGAAAAGCACCTACCATCTCACAATCAATACCAAACAATGGACTTGTAATAGAAAAGCACCTACCATCTCACAATCAATACCAAACAATGGACTTGTAATAGAAAAGCACCTACCATCTCACAATCAATACCAAACAATGGACTTGTAATAGAAAAGCACCTACCATCTCACAATCAATACCAAACAATGGACTTGTAATAGAAAAGCACCTACCATCTCACAATCAATACCAAACAATGGACTTGTAATAGAAAAGCACCTACCATCTCACAATCAATACAAAACAATGGACTTGTAATAGAAAAGCACCTACCATCTCACAATCAATACCAAACAATGGACTTGTATCAACACATGATAATAGAAAAGCACCTACCATCTCACAATCAATACCAAACAATGGACTTGTAATAGAAAAGCACCTACCATCTCACAATCAATACCAAACAATGGACTTGTATCAACACATGATAATAGAAAAGCACCTACCATCTCACAATCAAAACCAAACAATGGACTTGTATCAATACATGTTAATAGAAAAGCACCTACCATCTCACAATCAATACCAAACAATGGACTTGTATCAATACATGTTAATAGAAAAGCACCTACAATCTCACAATCAATACCAAACAATGGACTTGTATCAACACATGATAATAGAAAAGCACCTACCATCTCACTATCAATACCAAACAATGGACTTGTATCAATACATGTTAATAGAAAAGCACCTACCATCTCACAATCAATACCAAACAATGGACTTGTATCAACACAAGGCTCATATTTCTCATTGGTATACTTGTACATCCTCACTTTATCTGAAAAATAATTAAAATAGCTATCTAACATTTGTCCACACTTAAATGTTATACTTGTAGTACATATCATTAAATTCAAATTTCTATTTTGAATGTCTGCTTTAGGGTGCCTTTGGGTGGCCATTCAATCACTCCTTGCTTGTTAACTAAATCATACGTAAGTTTGGGAAAATGTTCCACCTTCATAATGAAAAGTTGTTATTGCGCATGTGAAGGTTTTCAAGTGTAATACAAGGCATTCATATGCATAATGCCACCTACATTTGTTACAGACACCAACTGCCGATCACCAACTGCCGTCACAAAAAGGAGACCATAACAATATGTCACCACTTTTCAGTGGTCACATATAAAAAAAATTGTAACTTACTTGCATCTGTAGGCAAGGGAATGTTCTCTTCTGCCATCTCAACATGACTGAGCAACAGTGATGTCCTGGGGAAGGCATCTCCTTCAGCTAGACATTGTTTCATAGCACCAGGAGTGTCGGCTGACTTGACATCATTTCCAGTATACTTGAATTTCTTTAAGTTTTGTTTAGCTAAAATGAAAAGATGCTTTAGTTGTCTATGAAGTCTGGGAGGGTTAAAGGATAATATAGGAATATCCTATGGTTTTGAAAAAATATCATTTAAATCCATGAGTGGATATTGATATTTTCATGAGTGAGCGCAGTGAATGAGTGAAGATATTGATATTGATGTGTGGATATAATCATAGGATTGTCCGTTTATCCCATGGGAAATCATCATCAGCAAAAAATAAATGTGAAAAAAAAATTGAAAATGTGAAAAAATGTCTAAAAAATGAATTTGAAAAAATGTCTAAAAAATAAATTTGAAAATATTTTGGAAATTAGTTCTAAAAAAATGTAATTAAATAATAAGTTTTTTTTGAAAATATTCAAAACCATTGAATATCACTTTTTAAGAAGTTTTAAAAAGTGATATTCAATGGTTTGAGAATTTTTTGATAAAAATGATATCTTGATCCACATATCAAATATATCTTCATGTGATATTCAATCTATGTATATCCTTGCAACCATGGGATAATTATAGGATATCCTATGATTTTGAGGAATATCATTTTTATCTACGAGTTGATATTGATATCTGCACGAGAGAGCAAAGCGAACGAGTGCATATATCAATATCAACGAGCAGATTAAAATGATATTCTGAAAAAAATCATAGGATGTTATTATTATCCTACACTTACAAGGAGTGTACTAAATGTATAATATCATTGCAAAATGAATTTCATGCCAAATAGAGTCAATTTGGTGGGAAATCAACAAGCGGAGTATATCGTCACAATATCCTCCGCATATTGGGTTTTCCGGAGTATATCGTCACGATATCCTCCGCCCGGAGTATATCGTTACGATATCCTCCGGTTATTCATCTTGCCAATAAATATCAAATTTATCTTTTAATGTTATTATACATTTAGTACACTAAGTGTAGGATAATATAATATATCTTGAGAGTCTTTAATCTTGACCAGAATACTTTTATATGAAACATCTGAACTTTAAAATTGTTTTTTCTGCTTATCAAATCATGAAATATATTTTTAATCAACCATTTTAATACAATGACAGACACCACAATAAGAATATTTTCTGTTAAGGTGCTGTTTATATAAATGATAGCATTGGGTTTTGAACATATTAGCTCTAGCAATAAGGGAAAAGGGTCAAATCTATTGATAAATTAATTGCATGTGTAAGGAGTTTATTATGTTATTTAAGCCTCATACTGTTTTGGAATTCTGAGGCTAAGAAATTTTTTGATGATCTTTAAAAGGTTCCTAACATGCAACATTAAAATAGACCGTTTCTAGAAATTAAATGGCAAAATGTGCCATTATCACATGGTTAGGAGTTTCTAAGCATTTTGATTGGTTAATTGTGATGATTCATATTCCCTGTCACATGTCACGTGACTCATTTTCATGTTATACGATGGACTGTATCATTATTGAGTCACAATAGCCAAGAATATGACGTCGCTGATCAATTATATCACTATGTAAACTGAACACATCTGTAGGATGTCATATTATTTCACAGACAAGTACGACGACAGAGGTGTGATGTCATATTATTTCAAAGCGAAGTTTCAATACATATAAAATGAAATGTTTGCAGTTTTAAACAGCATCGGAATTACCAGGGCAAACTACCCCCAATCACAAATGACCTAATCAAAATCGTGAAAAACTCCTAGACATGTGATATTTAAATCATCATCACACATTTCAGGTAGCCATGTATCACCACTCAAGCTTCGCTTTCGAGGATGATACCGTATTACCTTTCGTGGAATATTTCCTGTATCACATGCTGAAACGTGTGGTAACTGGTATTATCTAGATAGTACAGTTCTATCCATTTATTTGAATCCAAATCATTTTCAATTTTGATGTTTTTGGCATGCAAATCTATGATAAACAAGGCGCATGGTGAACATGATAAAATTTAATACGGTCCAAAAAACTTGCTTTAAGCCACTTCAAGTACCTTATTTATTTACTGATTCATGCCTTGTTTGATGGCTGGAATCTAGATAGATCATATTTGCATTTTTCAAGTACAATTAATAATCTTTACCTAGTAGTCTATTTGACTTTGGAAACATGAACATCTCCTCAGTGACTGTATTTCCATATAAGGAAGGGTTCAAAACTTCACTTTTCTACAATAAGATGCAACATTCAGAGAATTATGAAGATACAGAAGACCTAAAAACATCCATAAAATCACTTAATTACATGTATAGTTGTTAAATATACTGAATATAGTTATGTAAATGTGAAAGTGCACATGTAAAAAGTGCAATTATTTAAAAATAAAAAGTTTTATACCATATTTGACCATTGTAGAAATAATGCGTCACACTCCCATTGTATTGATTTGCAAAATAGTATCATGTTACTGCTCCAAATACATTTTTGAGTAGTATATATAACTTTTATTGACATATTGTATCATAACATGATTACGAGGGTTGTCCCAGAAGTAATGCACTATATGCTCTAACTTTATCAATAATTGATATTTCTCTATGAAATTTTCAGTAAATGTTCCTTAGAGACATTTTGATTATTCTAAAAAAATTCATGTTGACTGATAAAACTATATTGATGTTATAATAAAATCAAGTTGGTGTGTTCGGGTAGGGCGGGGCAGGTTATACAGTCACGTCAAAAGGAATAAAAATTGAAAATATGAAATAATTAATCAACAAATGCCATTTGGTGTAGCTATAAGAAGTATGCTCAAAAATACATTTTAAGATACTAAATTACTCTGAGCACATCCTAGATTTAATGAATGTATATTGCACAGTGTCCCATTTCACATATTCTCAAAATATTGCCCTTTGCATGTTATGTACTTTTGATGCCTGTCAGGTCAAACACTCTCGGCAATCTCTTCAACTTTGACTTGTGGAGTTTTTGCCTCCTATGTTTGGAGTTGTCATCCAGGGTCAAATCGTCTCTTTTAAATCTCTTCTGTCACCCTATAATTGTAGTTCTATCTGGTATATACTCCTTATATACTTTCTTCATGGTAGCATTGTTTTGCGTGGCTGTGAGTCCAAGTGAAGTATGAAATTAGGCCACCAAACGCAAGGCCTTCTGTTATCAGGTGAGAATTGCAGCCATTTTTGCAAGTTCTAGACTGTGACTGTATTTGAATTCGTGATTATTGAAATGTAGTATTATGACATCACAGTGCTGAATGTCATTATTTGTACTTGGTAAACATCATGCTGAATAAATTTAACAATTTCCCAAACATTTTGACCATTTAAAGGAAAGAAATATTAATAAAATAACACTTTAGATCTTTTCATAATTAGAAAAATTGGTACCTGCCCCGCCCACCCCTACCCCCATGTTGTTATAGCAACCATATTGAAACTTAATATTAATGTTGGATGCTGAAACTTCAGTATATAATAGATAAAACTTCAATTGTTATATACACAAAATTTCAGCTCAATTCAAGAATATTAAAGAAAGTTAGAGCATATAGTGCATTACTTCTGGGACAACCCTCGTACATTAGTCATAAACTACTCACTAAAACTACTATCTACTACTAAACTACTTACTAAAACTACATCTTTATAAAAATATACATGATTTGATATATTTACAGAAAGCATACAAGAAAGGCAAAATATTTTAAAGTGTGATGCACAAATTTTGCTGATTATTCTAAATTGTTAAATGAATGGTATATAAATTTACCAAGATGTCGTTGGAAGATGATATTATCATTAGAAATTATATTTATAAATATATCGTTACTATTCAAGTCAAATGTTGGTAATATTTCAGAAATTTTACTGAAAAATATTTGCCTGTGTTGAGAATGCTTTGTACAATTTATGATAAAATGAAATTCATCCTCCACACGTTTACATGTATTACACAACCTTTCATTAACTGGTTTAGGTTTGGGTTTTATGTGTCTTCCAGATTCTATTTTTAGCCGATGTGAACTTAACCTAAATCTACCTATTGCTAATCTATATTTTTTATTATCTAGTTTTAAATATGGTTCTAATTCAAAATCTTTCTTAAATAGCTTATATGTTCTTAATATAGGATATTGTAAAATATCATTTCTCCAATTATTTATAAATGCATTCTTTAGTTTCTTGTCAACCAAGTTTACTAAGTTTACTAATGGCAGTGACTTTTCTAAATGGTTGCCATATTGGGCGAATTGTCAAAACAATGTGTCATACAATTGAATTAACCAATTAAATATCAACAAATAATTTCAATAAAAAAGTTAATAAAGTTCCTGCCTAATCTAAACTAATTAGCAACCATATTTGCTGGCAGATCCAGAGGGTAAAATGGGGGACCCACATTTTATTTTTCTGGGATAGGCCCAATGCCCCCCCCCCCCCATCCGGATCCACCACTGATATCAAAAATGGGCACCCTGGAGTAATTCTCAAAGTAAATGCAAAGATGGTAGAATGCAAAAATGGAGGTTTCTTACAATAATGATGTTCCAGATTGCTTTAAGCAACTAATCTAACATTCATTCTAACTATTCAAATATTTGATTTGTTTTGCAAAAGAATATATGATTCAACTTAAAAAAAAGTGTAAATGTAAAATGTTGAGAGCTCTCACCATTGAAAACAGGCTATTGGTCTTCTTGAAACATTCTTCGTGTTTTTTGTAGTCATCCATACTCAATCCAGAAACACATATGACTGCTGTATGCTTCACTTTATTTGGTCGTAATAGTTTGCACCATCTACATATGAAAGCAGACATTAACATTGATCAATGATATCAACTTTTATTTATTACAGGAAATGACCTGAAAGTGAAATAATGGGGAATCCCAGAAATGTTTAGACAATGAAATATACAGAAATAAAATTGTAGAAGAGATGTAGAAGAGATGTAACTGAAAGTGAAACAGTGGGGATTCCCCTTGTTAACAAAACTCTCTATTCTGAAATCCAATACATACAGTATATGAGACCATAACAGCTGAAAACAATGTGGATGAATGAGCCCTCTGTATGGAGATTTACAGTAACAGATATCTTTCAGACCCATAGCCAGGATTGCCAAGGGAGTTCACTCTTTAAAAAATTCCAGGGGGTTCACATTTGACAACATTGGCCAAAATCACTTGAAAAGTGCTCGGAATGGTGAACTGCATGATTGGCCAAGGGGGGTTTGCTCGAACTCCCTGAACCCTCCTATGGGAATTTGAATTTGGAATTACTCGGGTTACCTTTTACCAAAATAACATGATAAAATAAACTTAGTATACAAAGTAACAAACCTTGGCTTGTAGCTTGAGTATTCTGCAATGACTGTTTCTGTAACAAGATGCTGTATGTCACCTACATACAGCGGAATATCAACCTCAGCAGGTATTCCCCCAAATATTGGCCTCATTTCAGCTGGTGTGAGGTAGATCTTTGGCCTTTGCTAAAATAGAATACAAGGTATTAACATGACAAAATGTCACCACCTAGGTGCTCACAATATTATGAGTTCAATCTTTAAGTCAGATTTAAATTTCTGAAAACTTGCAGATGATTTTGAAAAAAAAATTGGTCAATTTGAAGCAAGGTGAAAAAAGACCTTATTGACCTTAAAAATGTCATTGAAGGTCAAATCTATGTGAACTGTTGAGAACTTGCAGATGATTTTGAAAAAAATGGTCAATTTGAAGCAAGTTGAAAAAAGACCTTTTTGACCTTTTTTGACCTTGAAAAGGTCATTGAATGTCAAATCTAAAGTCAGATTTGAACTTCTGATAACTTAAGATGATTTTGAAACTAGAAATCGGCCTATTTGGGCTTTATTTGGTCTTTTTAAGCCTTTTTTAATCAAAAATGGGCCTTAAATTTTTAAAATTTGGGCCCACCTTTTGGTTTTAGGGGCCAACATTTTTTTCCGCCACGAACAGAGATTTTTACAAACTCAAATTTTGGGCCCTATTTGTTAGCTTCTGGATTCACCAGTGGTCATTGTTATGACATCAGAGAGTCAATAAAAGATAAATAAATATATATGTAAACAATTTTAAACTTAATTTACCATTGAAGCCTTCTGACGTGCCTTCAGCTTAATCCTCAAGGCCTTCAACTCGTCATCATTCTTCTGATCCTTTAGTCGTTCTTTAGTGACAGAATCAGGTTCAATCCTTGCCTTCTTAATTTCAATTGAGCTATCATCTATTGGCTGTTCATCCTTCCTAGGACGCTCCTTCAGTTTTGCTCTTAACGCTTTGAACTCATCATCATTCATTGGCTGTTTTTGTAATTCTTCCTCAGTGACAGTTTCAAGCTTTGGCTTTTTGACTTCAGTTGTGCTATCAATAGAAGCTATGTTGTCAGCTTGCTCATCATCAGCTGACGAATCACTGGATATCTCCTCATTTCGTATGTTTTCTATTCCCTATAAAAAAATTAAAATCATGTAGATTCTTTCACCAAATCAATGATCTCTACAAGCATTGGAGTTGCACATTGTTGATTATTGAAAATAACATGCAACACATAGATATTCTCTGTAAAATGAATTATAAACATATTAAAAAAATGCCAAACACCATCCACAAAAAGTTAATTGACTATAACAATGTCCTAAGTTTTGGTGGTGACATAAAAATGGGGAATGGTGAATCCAAAAATATTTATGAGTATGTACGTAACTACATGTATTACATACCTAGCGAAGCATTTGTATGGAAGTCAATGGGAAAGTTAGCGAGCTATATCCACCGATATTGCCCGATTACCCCGATATAGCCCGCTTACCTCGTTTTGATATTAGATTTCTTTAATAACCATGATAATATCATGACGTCACGTCATTGATACAAAGTAACCATGGGAACAAAGGCATGTAATACATCAGTTATGTCACTATGACGTGAAATATGCCTTCGTTCTTGCCCAAATATAGAGCCTCCCAAGGTCGGCCTATATTGGGAGAACTCAGGCATATTTCACGTCATAGTGACATAACCTCTAAGTATAGTAATATTGTTTTATATTGATATACAGGATATGTCACAATTTTTGAGATTTTTGTCATGGATAAAAACTAGATGGTTAAGCCACACATAATAAAAATAGTACCATGGGTACTGCTCAAATGGGAAGGTTTCAATATTTTTAATATTTAACAGTCGGAGCTGATATAATTAATGTTTTTTTATATGAAATTTAGTTGATATGGTAATATTGCACAGTATTGGTCAGCTGAAATTATAGTTGGAACAGAGGAATTTCAAAAGCACACTAACAGGTAGCATAATGTATAATTTTTCAGCAGTAAAAGTGGTGGCCGTTTTGAAATTTGTGGGATATTTGAAATATTTCGCTGAAATTTGTATGTAGATGGTGATGAAACCTCTTTCCAAGGTCATCTCTGTTCTGGCCTTGCATAAGCTATGAAGCTGCTAATATATATTCATTAGTAACGTCTCCCTTTTTAGATGGTGATGAAACCTCTTTCCAAGGTCATCTCTGTTCTGGCCTTGCATAAGCTATGAAGCTGCTAATATATTCATTAGTACCTTCCCACTTGTGCTTTTACTTGCTAATTGCTATTTATATAAACAGAATTATATATAGCATCTCTACAGAGATCTCCCAGAATCTTTTCACAGCAGGGGGATTTTTTATTATCAAGATTGCAAAAATATGACCCAAATGGTATATCTTATCAAAAGTGCAAATATAAAGTTTGCAATAGATTCAAGTCTGTCATTAGTTTAATTTAATTTAATTTAGTTTAATATGCTCATCATATTTTTGCTACATAAGGCTTCTAGAAAAATGTTCCAAAAATAACTTTAACACTCATCAAATGTTACTCTTTGTAAATGTGATGATTATACTCCTATATTTTAGCAATTAATGATACATTTAGAGGAGATGTAGGGGTGTGTAAAATGTAAATGGATTTTGTTGAACAAAAAAGTTCACTCGATTGGGGTACTTCACATGTAAACTTCATGAGCCAAATCTGATCTACTTATTGAACCATTCATCCATACAATGCCAATTATTGGTGAACAAGATATTAGTGCACATATAATTGTGATAATAAAAGCAGTATATTGATTTTGAATCAGATTAATTAATTTTTTCTCATTTGGAAATCATAATAGAGTGCACTCAACCATTCTGACAATTGATGCCCGCTCTATACCCTCACCTTATTTTAGTGAATGGACCAATCAGATTGCAAAATGCATATGTATTTAGGTATAGCTAATTGGGATGTGAATTTTGCTTTCGTAACCTTGTGGATTGTGGGAAGTCCTACTATTATCTGATTATTATATATTCACCAGGTTATGATGGTAAAATTCATACAAAAAATTTCTAAGCAAATGTGTGACATATACACATATTTCGAGCCAAATGCGTGTGAAAAGTATGAACGGGATGCGTTTGCTTTTTTGGCATTTGTTTTTTACCGTGTCAGCGTTTTATAAAAAGCTGATTTTTTAAATATCAACATAATGGTGATTTGCGTGACATTTAATCATACACGCAAATTTGATGCGTGATTTCAATTTTTCCAGCAAATGCGTGACAATCACGCCTAATGCGTGAGGGGGTAGAAATGTAAGCACTGCAAAATTCGTAAAATGATCGGCATAGATATTAGTGCGCGCTCCGCCTTATGACCAATCAGATTGCGGGATGCATGCCAAGAATCCATGTAAAAATGAAATTCTACTTGGATCTTTCCTAACCTGATATTTATTACTTATATTGTATTGAACTTCCCACTATCAAGCCATTTACGCAAGGCGAGAATATAGAGACGGCTGTCCCTTGGAAGAAGATAATGGAATACATATCATTTTCATGATGAACAATCATGAACCAGGAGGGACTATCTCAACAAACCTTCACTTTCTCCTGTCTCGTTTTGTCATTTTCTTGAGCAATTTCAAGAAAAGCTGCAAGTTTTCTTTTTTTATTTTCAACTCTCATTTTCTTTCTTGTCGACATTTCAGCTATTTTTGAAGCATTCAAATCCCTTCCCTATATTATAAGATTTTTGAGAGTCAGATATGTGAAAATAAAGCTAACAACTCGATATTTATCTTATTTTCAAAAGTTCATAATTTTTCCTCATTTTCATGCTGTTTCCGGTTTCTTGCGCATGCGCATAATGGAAACTCAAAATTAAATCCAAATTTGAAAATCAACATAAAATCAAATAATTATGGCATTCAAACAATAAATATGCTGTCTGCATGATGTCGAGACGATCAGACCTAGGGTAGAGTATCGAAAAATGAAAACAACGAAAGAATTGGCGAGGTGAGAAGAGCTGATTACTCATTTGAATAAATCAATTTTTGACTAGCAATGGACAACGAATAGATGGCGCGTTTTCGCGGGAAATTTTATTCACTAAAAAATTGACCCCGCTTTTATATGCAATTTTGGTCGCTCATTTTAACTATGTTAAAAGTCGAATTGCTGTTATTTCTTTATAAAATCTGTTTAATAATTGAATGAAGTCTTCGCGCATTCTGAAGAATAGAAGAAAATCGTTTTTGGCGAGGACGAACTTCACGAGGTAAAGTTTAAATCATTTAATTATACCCTCAATAATTTTTGGTCGCTTTGATTAAGCAGTTATTTGTAAAGTTTAAAGTCTTCAGATCGTAAAAAATTAAAACTTACACTGATATATATATGCGCAAATGTAGAAATTCAACTTTTAAAGTGGCTGGTGTAATCTTCCGATTCTCATGCAAGATGGCGGCCATATTTATCTTCCGGGGTCGCGTGTCTTGCGCAAAAATAAAATCGTTAATTTTGGTTAATCTGTGTTCAATTATGGTTGTTACTTCAAATAAATGTATATTTATGTAATCAAATATGCTATTGAAAACTTCTTCATACGATGTCCGTTGAATTTGGACTTATTAGACACAGATTAAAAGATTGTTATTGTCACGTGATTAGTTTGTTGTTGTTCTCGCGATCAAGCACGTGGATCGATGTGGATAGGTTGGTATGATTATTTGACAATTACCAATGCATAATTCAGTAATTACAGGTGCCCCAATCTATTATCATCGGATAATCACTTTGACTACTTGCAGTCTCACCTCCCTTGATGCCCCATACTGTAAAAGTTTATCATTGATGACCCATACTAATGATCACTTGATGTCACATACTATTGATCATTTGATACATGTATACCATACTATTGACCACTTGATGTCCCACACTATTGATCACTTGATGTCCCACACTGTTGATTCCTTTGATATACTATTGATCACTTGACGTCCCATACTGTTGATCACTTGATGTCCCATACTATTGATCATTTGATGTCCCATACTATTTAACACTTACTACCCCATACCATTGATCACTTGATTTCCCACACTGTTAATTATTTTATTCCCTAATACTTATTAATTACTATTGATTATTGATTGTCCAAGACTGTTGATTACTTGATATCCAGTACTGTTGATCACTTGATGTTCCATACTGTTGATCACTTGATGTCCCATACCATTGATCACTTGATGCCCCATACTATTGGTTAGTTGATGTCCCATACCACTAATCACTTGATGTCTCATACCATTGATCTCTAAATGCAGCATGCTTGTTTTAACGACTTGGAAAGTTTTATTTTGGTCTCTCTCAAGACTTTTGAAAACTATAATACATGTACATATGGACATATGTATATTATATATTATGGTAAACAATTTAGTGATATACATGTAGTGTCAGCTTATAGATACACTATTTGTATACATGGAAAGAATATTACTCAAGTAATAAAAAAATATTTGTACTAATGTTCTCCATTGATCCAAATGAAAGAGACATAGGAAATTGTACATTGCAAATGTTTATTTTAAAAAAAATACAAAAAACGCCCATGGGTGATACTCTGTGACTCTAATTTACGAAAATATGAACTTATATTAGACCTTCATTTTTTTTGTTTGGTTAAATAAAAGTTAGAGTTACAAGAAAATATAAGGTATGATAAGATAAACCTTATTGTTAATTTTTAATTAAATTTCAAAGTTGGGGTCAGTTTTTAGCAAAAACGATTTTTGGACCCCCTGAGGGTGACCTACTTTAAATGGGTGCCACGGCCAGTATGCATTTTCTAAAAATTTAGGTTATAGATTTTCTTTTTATTGAAACTCCAAGCTTTCAGAAAATATATAGTTTAATGGGGTTGGGTTAATTTAAAAAAATGGTTGTCCAATGCTATTTTGACCCCATTTTCTGCTCCCTTTTTGAAATTGAAAAAGGAAAAAATGATTCGTCTCAGAGAATCTATGTTACATTCATTGTATATTGATGTATGTTTCAATAATAAGAGTCTGCATAATGATTTCGTAAGGTTGACCCAATGTTACACTCATTGTGAACCATAATAAGTGCTGGGTTTTCGAGATAAATGATGCATTATCCTCCCGGGGCCTTCCTTCTCCACCTATAGAGCAACTTAGTCTCTTATCTCAAGTACAGAATGCACAAAAGATAATTTTGCTATTATAGGTAAAAGAATCTCCAAACAACATTTTTGAAAAAATTCCTAAAGCTTGGAACATAAATACAGAAGTAATGACTAATACCGATGAAAAAGACATTCTGTCGCACATATAATAAATTCCTACCTCGAATCGAGTGCTCTATTTTCTCGGTACTGAAAAGTCAAATGTAGTGAAATTTGTGTCTATAATGACAATTACAAACTTAAAAATTTGAAGTGATTTTGGAGCCCGGTTATGCCACAAGGAGGAATGGCTCCCAGAATGCAATGTTACAGCTTTCAAAATGCAAATCCACCATTTTGAAACCTGTCATGGGTAAACTGATGTTGCATGTGATTAATGACATTTTGACCATTTGAATATTTATCATTCTTTCCTGCCAGTCGCTTATTTTTGTGTGAATTTTTATTTTTGGGTTTGTTTTGACTGACAGGACCTATGCGTTTCCCTGGCTCTGAAAGCGGGGAGCATTAAAGTTAGATTGATAATTTTGATTTCTAGGATAATCATTTGATCTTTCATATCTATTTTGATATGGATTTTGATTGCAAAAACGAGCCGTGTGCCCTGTTTTGGAACATTTGAAACAACGGTCCACTGAATAACCTGCCATTGAAACTTTAGGGTAAGTCCTACATGCTGGACTTGGATGACCTACACGACCGCATCGTCCGCACACTGGTCGACCATCAGTCATTCTGCCATTATAGGAGGCTCTTGGGGGTGGTCTGTTGAAATTTTGTTTCAGGGATTTCACCTCATTTGATAATGATCTCAATAAGGACTGTTGTTCTTGAAACAACTCCATCAATTTGGTTTCTACATTTGACATTACATTAACTGTCTGTGAAACCTGCTTGTCTGGTTTTATGTTTTCTACACTTTCCCCTAATCTTGCAAATTCTTCAGCCAAATGTATTGTGTCGGGATTTCTAGCTACCACGAATTTCTTGATGTCGGATCTTAACCCTCTTACAAACAGTCTCAAACGTTCGTTTGGTGAAATGTCTAATTTTGAACACTGAATGCTAATGTCATTTATGTAATTATCAACACTTTCATTTGTTTGTTGGATTCGGTCCATGAGATTGCCTTCTCTGGCCCATCGCGGTGTTTCATGAATAAACTTGTCAATGAAGGCAGCTTTCAAAACATCCCAATTTTGTTTAATATCTTGAGGTAGGTTGTCATACCAAATTTCAGCATTAGAACTGAGAAACATTTTCAAGAATATACATTTTTCTGCATTTTGCCATTTTGAAAACTGAGCGTATATATCATATTTGTCTATCCAAGATTTAGGATTACTAACTGAGCTTGCGCTGCTGAAGATTGATGGCTTGATTATCTGACCTTTATGTCCGCCACCAACTTGTAATTTTGCTAGGATTTTGTCGACTTGTTGTTGAATTTCTCCGGCCGCATTTATATCATCATTTATAACCTGATCTGGCTGATTTGGTTCCGGTTGTTGATCTTGATTTAGTTCAATATTTTCAGGTTCTTGAGCATGGTCAAGTAAGGGGGGCTGTTCGTTTTGGTTATTCAATTGTTGAGCGGCTTGTGCCATAATTTTATCGTGATTTCTTTGACGACTTCTTGTCCACATAAATGATTATTACTCAATGTGCTTTCTTTAGTAAGTCTAGAAAACCCAAGGCAGTTCCACCAAGTGTTATCTTTGGAAAATCTCTTGAGTATGGATGAGTGAATAACACATGAATGAGTGAAAGAGAGTAATCACGTGGGGTGTGACCAAATAAAATCACGTAATGGCTAGCTTACAAAAGTTCGATAAAAGGGGGCACCCTTTAAGTAGCTCAAGTGGGGCAACCTATTTAAATTGATGAATAGGTCTGTTACAAAACGTAGAGATCAAGGATAGTTTAAGTGGTAGGTGAAGGGTGTAATATCAATGTAGTCGATTAATTATAAATGCTTAAATTGTGAGAGAATATGGGTGATCGTCTAGCTTACTATTACTCGCACATTGACAATGAAGATTTATTATGATTATATAATACCAGTCAATATATTTCCTATCACTTATTGGATAGTTTTAGTACTTCGAAATATATGTACAATTATACCAAAAATGACAACACTAGTTACAACTCAGAAATAGTTACAGATATTGTCTAAGTTACCAAAAACAATGCAAGTGATAACCTTTTAGTACCTTTAACCACGGGTTTTAGAACTCCGCATAAATTAGCAATTCAACCAGAAAGATTGATGAATTCAAAGAACCAAAATATTGCTAGAGTAAAACCGTCCAAGGTTTTGTAGCTTAATTGACTTACTTGTATTATTGTTGAGCAACTCTTGGTTTAGACGTGCAGTAGCGTAGACGTTCTTGTAGTTCAATTCCCGAATTTCGTCCCCGTAATTTCGTTCTCTGAGTTTCGACCTCTGAATTTCGACCCAGTAATGATAATGATACCCCTTTTTATACCCATTTTAACTAAGCCCCACGTACTGTAAACGTTGGCTTAAATTGAGAAATAATAAGTGATTCGTATTGAAAACGTGCGTACGAAATATGTAAATAAGTGATTCGTATGTAAAACGTATGTTCAAAATATGTAAATGATGTACGCCTTTTTGGAACGTCTGAACTGCGTCACGCCAGTACCAAGAGCAATGCTCGATCTTAAATGAAACTCTTGTTTACAAATAGGTTTGACCTTATTAGGTCACCGGGTCATAGAAACACATGTTGGTGTTGTGAAATACTACACTCAACAAATGCATTAAGGATTTCATGTTTGATTATTTTGTGTATTCGTTTAGGAAGACATTTAATTTTCTAATAACGTTTAAAGATTATTTGAAAATAACATGTAAAAGTACATCTAGAAATATGGTTTTCAAATATTGTTTATCAAGTTTGAAAATTTAATTATTTTTATGACATCTTGTTTGGGTTGATTCTCCAAAGAGCCCATGTTACAAAATCACAAAAAGTGAAATATCTTTACTTGTATTGGTCAGATAACATTTTCTTACTGGACATATTTTGATTTGCATAACTATTAGATACATAAGGGTTGTATGAAAATTGAACCACTAAAGCAGATGTTAAGTTAAGTTAAAGGGAACTTTCTACTATACCCGCCATGCTATCTGACCCGAACGAGCCACCTGGTGGTGGAACTGGTAACTACCTACTCGCATCTGCGTTATTCACAGTTAACCCTAATGCAGACAACATATTTTTCATAACACTAACAGATAGGGGGTCAGATTCATTTAAAATTGAAACAGAACAATTACAGAATTAATTCATAAAATATGCGGATTTTGGCAATTTTAGCAATTTGCTACCTGATAATGTTTTCTTGGAGCATTTTTTGTTGCTACCTGAATATGGGAATTTGCTCCTTGTTTTGGTAGCAGGTAGCAAATCCTTGCTACTGGTAAAAAAAAGTTAAGGTCAGACCCTGTACCAGAAAATAGTATGTTCAGGTATAGCATTTTTTCAAAAATGTTGTTTGGAAAGAATAACCTTAAGCGTAACTTCTGCCTGTCTGTTATTTTTAATGGAACTATTTTCGTTCTACAGAAACACAAATTCCAAAGAACTGAAAAATGACTCGAAAAAACATGGCACTAATGTGCATGCATGACTGTAAGTTTAAACCAATCAGATTATTTGATATTTCGCACACAGAGATTATTCACTCATGACCACTTAACTTAAAAATATTTACAAACCTGGCAGAGAATTTGCCCCGACTTTATTTAATGTGAAGTCAAGCTTTGGATACATTTATTTTGGTTCGCAGTTCGGGATATTGTAAATGTTAAAATTCAAGAGAATATGCCAAATACACTATATGTACTTCGATTTTTTTTGATCACCACTTTAGATATTTTATGTCTTTAACACAGGAAAATAGTGCAAGTTCTAAATCACCATAAAGCAAAATCATCTGTTGATGTAGCTGCCCTAGTTTAACAAGTTAAACCTTGTCTGGGCCTTATTTATTATCAGACATTTCTTGGGTGATCCTGCTAGGTTCAAACCACAGTTTGCCACTGGCTCTCTAGATAGACAGCTTTGGAAATCTTGATATTCTCATTCTACATTAAAGGTATTTCAAACAAATTAAAGAAATCGTGAAAACACTTATATTGTTTCAATCAATATATAACATCCTAAAGTATGGTTGTACAATGTACAATCACGCTATCCAGAGTGGTAGAGGAAATTTATTGATGAAAAATGTTGGTTATTTTAAAGATGGCATCTTACAGGAAGTCGAATGATTTCGTTAATACACATGCCACTCTGGATACCGTGATATGGTTAGTACAACAATACTTTAGGATGTTATACATCTATTAAAGTAATGTGTTTTCAAAATTTTAATTCGTTTGAAAGACCTTTGATGAAGACTGGGAATATCAATAAATCTAAAACCATCTTTTAAAGATGGCTTTGTGTGAATAAAGTACATTTTCTTTAACATACTGACACAATTTTGTGATAAATATGTCATGGACATTCTCCCTACAACTCGTGAAATAAGGAAAAAATAAAAATCGTACATTATAGCTCAAGGTTCTGACATTTTGTTACCTAAACGGATTCCTTTCGTTAATTAGTTTGAAGAGTGCAGTACCAGTGAGTGAGCAGCCATTTTGAAAAATACTGGCCATTTTATGTGTTTATTTACGATTTTTGCTGTCACTGAAAGATAGTATAGTAGCTTTTTTGAAATTTTATGACAATTTGGCTTGTGAGTAGCCATTTCGAAAAATGGTGAACATTTTTATGTGTGTTATTTTATGTTTTGTTGTTTTGCTATAATTGGAAAAACAGCTGAGCGATTATTTTGAAATTTTATATGTGAATATTTGGAAGCAATTACACAGCTATGGCTGTCGATGGGATTTGCCACTTTTGATGAATCCCTTTGGTCTATTATAGACAGATTTGGTCTATATGTCTTCTTTCAGTTCAATTTACCTCAAGCTCTCGTGTCACAAAAAGAATTACCACTCTACAGTTCATAAACATAGAGTGGTATCTTTTCAGTTGTCAATAGCATTTTACCAGAGATACTCGCCTTCTTAGAACTTTAATCTGGGGAGTTTTGAACTTCTTATTGAAATGTTTTAAAGGTATCATTAAAATAACTTGCATGTAAACATCCTCAAACACATATTTGTGTCCCTAATAAAAAAAGATGAACATGGAATGTCTTACATTATAATTGAATAGTTAACTATATACAAGACAGTCATGTAGGCTGGAATTTTAAATAAACAGTTTATATGGGGTTAATGTACTAGGTATATATACATGTATAAACAAAATGTCAGATAGCAAAGCATCAATTTCAGTCTGTAGTCAAGTTGTCACCTGAACAACCACATAAGGAGTGACCTTGGATGCAGTGATCGGTGATATAATGTACTGCAGTTATATGAAATATTGTGTTCAGATTGGCTTGAATCTGACACACCTTGCGCTATGTGTGAACATATTTTTACCATGATCATTGTGATCCTGATCATGTCAGTGATATATGGAACAAATAGAATTGATAAAATGTCAAAAAGGGGTAACTTATCTTATTGTAAAAATTCAAGAATAAAACATATTTTCCAGGTCAGGGAGTGAGTATGTTATCCTTAGGATATTAATAATCATATGAAACTCATATCTTTCTACAATTCAGGGTAACCCTGTATTAACTAGCCTCTTTGAATATTTTACGAGTGCAAAATATTTCAAAAATATAATCCTAATTCAATGTAACAATATGTACTACTATATATATACTACTATGCACTTGTACAATATTGTGCTTAGCTATAAAGGATGAACAAAGTGTGTTGATAGATGTTGATATAGCAAAGCTCTTATATATACGAAATGTGTAAGAGTTATCCTGTTCCATGACTATGGTCCTTCGAGCAGCCCTATACATTGTCTCTATGAGTACAATATTTGAGAATTCGGCATGTATAACTGACGAAACTGACACACCGTACCTCAATAAATTCCGGAGTATTTTGTTTTAGTGAATCCCCAGTTGTATGGGTTTATCGGTAGAACGAGGAAACTTTCATTTTTTGTCGAGAAAGTTTGCATATTTTTCAAGATGGCGGAAAGTTTTAGAAGGGGAATCCCCTGCAGTAGGTTTTAGAATGGGAATCCCTTTAGTAACATCCGTGTCTGCCAGTCTTGCAGAGCCCAGATATACCTACAGAGGGGGAATTTTGATGGATGAAATAAGTTTTGCATGCAAAAATTGCTATTTAAAACTGAAAATTTCCTTGTGCTTCCATAAGATTGTACAACCATCAAATCAAAATTTCTGCCATTTTTGTCCAAAGTTCAGTATTTGTGCTTTAATTTGAATAAGGTTTGAAATATACAAAATCCTTGAAATATTACGCTCAATACATGTAGAAAGTCTGACAGTTGTCATTTCCTTTTAAGGACATTACCATTCTCGAACATGTTGAATAAAGGTATCTCAAGGTTACAATTGAATGTCTTCAAATATCATCATATAAATGGGAGTTCATTGATCAGTTCATGTCATCTTGACTAAAGTATATGTCATCTGACATGTCTGAGTTTTTATTTTCATGTAAAATTAAGAAGACTGGAAAGCAAGGCTTTCATAGATTGAACACATTTAGACATGCAACATTTGAGCGGAGTTAAAAGAATATTTGAACCATATTTATTTATTAGTAATCTCAGCTTTTTTTCATTGTATTCACATTCTGTATAGACCTCTTTTTATGTATGATTCTAGAGATCTTGGGCTATTGAGGAAAAGAACGTCATTGAATCAACAGGACAAAAATGTAAAGAAAGTGAAAAGAACAGGTATGTGCAAAAATGTTTTTTCAAATGTTTCTAAAAAAGAAACTTTTCAATGGGAATAAGTCTATTCATGTTAAAACACGCATGATTATAACATCCAAAAAAAAATTATAGAGCATGTCATTTTTGACACCAGGATTGTCGCTATAGTTAATAGTTAAGTTAGTTAAGTCTAAAAAAGAAACTTCAATGGAAATAAGTCTATTCATGTTAAAACACACATAATTATAACATCCAAAAATTATAGAGCATGTCATTTTTGACACCAGGATTGTCGCTATAGTTTAATGTTCAATACATTTTATACCTTGAACTCGGGGAAATATCACATCAAGGCTGCACATAGAGGTACTGGATTAGTTTATAGTCTGCTTTCAAGAAATTGTTGTTTTAAGATTCTTTCATATTTAATTTCCAGCTCAGGTATATGTATATTTATTGGATATCCTATGATTTTGAGGAATATCATTTTTATCTACGAGGTGATATTGATATCTGCACGAGAGAGCGAAGCGAAAAAGTGCATATATCAATATCACCGAGTAGATTAAAATGATATTCTGAAAAAAATCATAGGATGTTCTTATTATCCTACACTTGCAAGGAGTGTACTAAATGTATAATATCATTGCAAAATGAATTCCATGCCAAAAGAGTCAATTTGGCGGGAAATCAACAAGCGGAGTATATCGTCACAATATCCTCCACATATTGGGGTTTCCGGAGTATATCGTCACGATATCCTCCGCCTGGAGTATATCGTTACTATATCCTCCGCCCGGAGTATATCGTTACGATATCCTCCGCCCGGAGTATATCGTTAAGATATCCTCCGGATATTCATTTTGCCAATAAATATCAAATTTATTTTTTAATGTTATTATACATTTAGTACACTAAGTGTAGGATAATATGATATATTATTTTGAAGTATTTCAAGCCAGAATCATAGAGTTTAAAAGTTAATTCTCAACGATTTAAGATCAGGTTATTATCCTAAAACTATATTTGCCTTATAAAACAGATTTACATCAAGATTTTTAGTTCAATACACAATAAAACATATTATATATTCTGTACCATATCGCACTAGATTTTGAAATTCTTTCTAATGTGTGTGTTTTTGAAAGCCTAAGGAAGGTTTTTAATGTGAATACACCAAAAAAGCTCACCATTTAACTCTTTCTTTTGTACAGTAGGCTATATGGAATCGTTGGTCTGTATGACAGTTTAATTAAGTGTTTGATTTTATAAGGACACCTTTAAGGTTAAAAATGATTTTTAGATAAAGGAACCATAAGTGGTGATTTTCAGACAGGTCAAGATATATTTTATGGAAGAATAACATTGACAAGTCTGTTACACAATAAATATTTATGTCTCATCTACAGCTGTTAGTTCACCATTGCACAGTATATTTCTTTCCAAAATTTTAATTTTTATAGCTGTCTATATGAAGACTAATAAGAATGTCAGGTGTGTATTTCTTGCCAGAGTTGGCACTGTGGATGGGCGTTCACTGTATAATGATTTACATGTTTTTTTCAGGGCAGATATTTCAGTACCTTATTGTAATTGACTTTGAGTCAACATGTTGGGAGAATTCAAAATACAGATCCCAGGAAATAAGTAAGTAAAGCATTTAAGTTTAGAGTTCCTGGCCTTTTTACTTAACCCTTTAATCAACCTAAATTTTTAAATTCCTCCAGATTATCCTTCATGTTATTGTGGTTGCTGTTCTGGTCTAACTCATAATGTCAATATTTGAGTTGTGTTCAAGATTGGTTGTTTGTCAATATACCCACAAAGAAGTATATTGGAAATATATTGTAAAAGTCATCATTTTTGCCACTGACATTACCTGTTTGCCCTGTGTCTGTAATACTTTTGTACTTGTAATAATCAGTATCAATTATCTTTCATTTCAGTTGAATTTCCTGCTGTTTTACTCAACACCCTCACTGGGAAAATTGAGAATGAGTTCCATTACTATGTCATGCCACAAGAGCAGCCAACTCTCAGTGATTTTTGTAAAAATCTCACGGGCATTTCACAGGTGAGATTATATTATAAACATGATTAAAGCAACTAGTCACTACTGCACAATTTTGAAAATCTGTAAAAATATGATGCGCTATGTTGAAAATCTGTTTGCATCCTATCACAAAAAAATTAGTAATATGAAATTATTTTTACGTTTTTTTTAATGTTTTGACTTTAGGTAAAAATAGGATTTATAGGCTTCTTGAAAAAAATATGAAGAGCTCATGAATGGCACTTTGGTTTTGACCATTTAACATTTCAATTATATCTAGTATTTAAAGAATGATCAAAATTTCCCCCAATAGTTTAAACGTTATCAAACATGAGATTTTTACAAATTGGATTACAAATCACATGCCTATGAATTGGATTAAATTATAGATTACATACTATGGAAAATCAGTTCTAGGAAAAATGGATTAAATCAGTTTTTGGAAAAATATCATTACATAAGTTCATCTTATAACTGAGGTCAATGAATGGATTAAATCAGCTTTTGGAAAAAAATCATTACATAAGTTCATCTTATAAATGAGGTCAATGAATGTTACAAGTTTCGAAAGTCACCTAAGGTCAATGAATTGAAAGGACAGATCTAAGTAGAGGACAGATCTGAACTTTTGAAAATATGTAGATGGTTTAAAAAATAGACTAATTTTTAATCATTTTAAAAACTAGCTGTTTACCAATTTTTGAATTGAACTTGAATATTTCAAATTGAGTGCAGATTTCAGAATGAAGTGCAGAATGGCAAATACTAAAATATTTAGCCTATTAAAAGAAATATGTATGCATAGTTCAGTTGAAATATTGATCTCGCATATTCCAGAATTTTGAGAAACTTTGATATAAGGTTTTGTGACTTCATCTAATTTTATGACCTTTGACATTTTCCGACAAAATACATATGGGCTCGCCATAGGAAAACGGGTCTCATCATAAAAACTAAAATTGTGCTACAGAGCCAAAAATAAGCTCAAGAGTAAGAGGAAATTGTGCTAAATTGAAATCCATCTTTTTGGTCTATATCTGCAAGGAAAAACTGTTGAGACATAAGCCATGGCTCATTTGAAAGGTCTTTTTGTGCTTTTGAAGATAAACAAAAAATCAAGATATTGAAAAAATCTGTGATAAGACCCCTTTTCCTGTGTCTCGTTTGAGATAATTGTAACTCAAATTAAATGAAAAAATGAAAATAAAGTGTAATTTCATTTCATAGTAATATATTTTTTATGCTTTTTTATTTTTTACATCAGTATTGAATATACATTATTTATCTAATTTTCTAGTAAATTCAAATTATGTTTTATTATTGAATATATAATATTTTGGACAAAGTGCGTTTTATGGGTTATGCAGATGTCTTATGCCGTTTTACATCATTGAAAGTGTCGACGTTCGTTCCCTCAGTGGTTTCCTCCCCTAATGTTGCCCCTCGTCTGTTTTCCTTGAGAGGTTTGGTTGTGTGAAACCTGGAAAGTCCAACTGCTGGTTTATTAGGTCTTGACATCGATTTGGCCTTCCTTGTCATCCGCTGTGGTCTTTTGGCTGTCGTTGCCCTTCGTCTCAAAGTGCTATTCATGAACTCTTTCATGTCACTTCCATCCTGTTCCACTTTGCGTCTGTATGTCCCCAATCTCTGCACAAATTGTTGATTCAGATGAGAAGCCTGCTGTCGTCGTGTTTGCCTTCTGTTTATTGGACGCCAGGATCTATTCATACTCTCTCCATGAATTTCATCGTCGTCTGTTTCTGATTCTCCAACAGGTATAGGACGAGTTGCATCAGACATCATATCTGAAATTTTCCGGATGCTCCCGCCATCATTGAATCGTTCACGCTCTATCTCATCCACATGGAGTCGCTGTAATGTCTTTACAAACATAACCACCTTTTCTGCACTGACAGGCTCAGGTTCTTCGTCATCCTTTCTAGTAAAAGGTCTTCTCTTGCAGATATCCAAATCCATTGAAGCGAGTATATGTAACAATGTCCCATAACGATGCACTAACATACCACAGAACTGCAGTAATAGAATTGTAGCAAAGAAAACCAGAAAAGCAAGACCAAATGGTTCAAGTCTTAGTGGCTCCAGTGGAGGGGGTCTTGGTATTGGGATGAATATGCTATCCTGGAGTTGAGCAGCCACTGTTTGTAGCATAAACATGACAACCATCCAAAGTATGTTACACATGATGAAACCAAATGCAACATTGTTTCTAAGTGACTTCAATTCATCAGATATCTTGGCTTTCTGATCGCTATCTTCTGTTAATGGCTTGAGGTACTTGTCGACCATTTTTATCCAAAACACCCATTCCTTTTTATCAAGGTATTCAATTGGTCCATCACCAATGTCCTTATCTTTTATCCAGGCTGGATCAAGTGGGTTTTCAACCAGTGCAACATCTTGGTGATCATCATCTTCTTCTGAAAGTTGCTCTGGGATGGACATCATTTGTTCTGGTTGGGCGGTCACTGGGAAAGCACCTACTTGGAAAGCACTGTTGACACTGGTATTTCTAGAAGGAGCCTTATCATGGAAAACACTGCTTATACTGGGATTTCTAGAGCGGGAGATATCGTGTGAGGATTGGCTTCCATTTTTGACATCCATATTTTCTAGTTTGATCATAATCTGGGTCATCAGCTGCTGTTGCTGTAAGGCTTGGGTATTATCGCAACATTTACAACATTGGCGGATACCACAACATGCTGTATCATCACTAGGTAGAGCAATCATCCCCATGACGCCATCCATAACAGTTGTTTCTTTTACTTTCTCAACTTTCTTCTGTTTTGCCTCACGCTCTTTCTCACTCTTTGTCTTGGCCACTTCTCGTGTTCCCCATGAAACAATGTTAAGATTGCACATTGAGTAGACTACTAGAAGAATATAAGCTGAGGGGATTGTGATATAATATAGCAAACCAGGTGGTAGGCATAATATCTCTTGGGGGTGTAGCAGCCCTGCTACTGTAAATATTATCGCCATGCCAATTATAAATATAGCATTTGGGCTGAAGATTGAATCTTGAGTGATCTGTATTAGTATACCAACAAAGACTGCCATCATTACGATCGCATACATTGCAGACATCACACCTGCAACATCAAGCTGTGTGTTGGGTTTTGTCAAGAAACAAATGATGACAAAGATTACTACAGGCACAATTGCAACAATGTAGGACACAATCAGATTGGCTTTAAAGACTGCATTGACTGAACCAGAGATCATGAGCATGATAGTTGCAGGTCCAAGGATTGAAGAGCACATAAGCATGAGCTGGTAAATCATATAGGGATGTGACAAGTTGTCATTAGAAGCTACACTATGTCCCCAGCTCTGTAACAGGTCCATTATGTTAGCCATAGTTGATGGCATCCAACGTCTTCTTTGGTTGAAGAATTCTTTGAAATCTTCAGGGGCATATGTCAAGGCATCAGATGCAGCGCAATACTCTACTCGCCAGCCTTGTTGTAGAATCAGTGTGCAAAGCCATCTGTCTTCACCTTTAGGGAGATAAGATATTGACCAATGAGAAACTGGTTTACATAAAAAACCACAAGACATAACATTCGAAAACACACTATTGTAACAGATTAAATTATATTTGAATGTATGGGATAGAAGAAAACAGAAAAAGTTATTTTATCGGTAGTAAGTATCCATAATAAAGAAATATTAGTTGTTGATATGGCAAAAAGATATAAAATAAGTTAATTAAAGCTATGTTGCTGTTATAGCCTTATTCCAAACTATTTTTGGGAACACATACCTTGGTCATACTGGACATAGTGTCTTGCCTCAGTTGGTTTAATTGTATATGTGCGCATCACATTGTCATCCATGATTGCTGAACCTCTAAATAGACTGAAACAACCTGGACTGCATAGTACACATCCAAACACATGCTCAGCAGCCTTTTGAAGCCAGTGACCAATAGCATATTCAAACATCTGATACCATACTAAAGGGCCTAGAAAAAGGATAATATATAGATAAAGAGTATTTTTCTACTCATAAATAAAGGATTTGTCAGTGTGTTTGATGGTTTATTATATAGCAGGTCATAACCTGAGTTTGGTTGCATTTTTGTTGTATTGGATGTACCTTTTGGTCTACCTTTAAAGAAATTATTACAGTTGTCATCTGAAATACATGTAACCCTAAAATATTTGAAATATTTATGGCGATGGCTTTGTGAATGGATGTTGACCCTTTTCCTTGCCTATGGAATTTGAGACTGGATTTTGTCTATCCCACATCATTTAAGACCGAATACTCTTTACTACTGGTATCTACAACTATTTTTGATGTTATGAGTATTGGCTATAAATTTTTTCATCGACATGTATTGAGATGACTTAGGTATGAATGAAATGTCCCTTGGTCCTGGATTGTGATATCATTGGCTCTCAATTGGAATGGGGAAGGGGTTGTTAGATAATATTTCTTTTCACGTTAGATCATGGTTTTGGGATAGGGTCTATTTTTCTTATGACAGTTTTATACTTAGAGTTTGCTTTTCCTGCTTGGTTTCTTTACAGTTTTTGGTCCTTTCCCTTTGGCACTTGTGCTTAGATATTTACACAATTACTAGATTCTGACATATACCTTGTTTATCTTAGATTATTATTAAAACTTGGAAAAATGTAGAAAGCAAATTAATTGCCTTTTAAATGATAAAGGTGTATTTTTAATGTTTCAATTTTGAACTAGTTGTACTGTTTTGTAAGGTTTGAATAATATCTTTTTCAAGGTCTTGATTACATAAGTTAGTATCAATATGAATAACAAAAGTTGAATAATAATTTATAACAATAAGGATAATCATATCAAGTTGGTTGGACTGTATGTTTAAAATTGGCAACAAGGGGCTTTCCTTTGCATAGTTGTCATACTGTATATTTGTGCAATTAAAATTCCTCAGTCAGTGGGCATTGCTTTGTGCAGATTATTTTTAAATCAAGTTTGCTCAGCCATATGATTAATTTGGCAACTTAAAAGCAACTAAACCACTGTTGTTGCACTCTATGGCTTTGCACCAAATACACCAAGTGTAGTATGACTGGTCATTTTGATTGGGAAATGCTTTCTAAGTAGATGTTTCTTGAGATTTTCCATGCCTTGTCGTTGCTTTGATCTAGTTTGCAAGTTACTAGTAACTGAATAGAGATGAGGAAATAGTTTACCTCCTCCTATAGGATGAATCCGACCACATGCTGCTCCAACCTTTGGATTCTTCTTCATTCTGTCAACTAGCAATTGTACTGCCTCTGGTTTGAAGTCCACATCACCGTCTAACGCAAGTAAGTAGGTATTCTCCGCCTGTGAAAAGATGTATTTTGCTAGGTTAAGTGTGTTATTTTTATTTTCCAAATATCATCCAATGTGATTCATGAATATATAGGTTTGTCTGTATGTTGATCACAAAATGTTATTACTTTGAGGTAGTAAATTCAAGAAAATCAGAAATATTAATTAATCAACTTAATATTTTTCAAAATCATATATACAAATTCCCAGGAATTCAGACCTGACATCTGTTTTGAGATTTTTTCAGTTCTCCATATTCAATATCGAGCTACCAGAAGTTCATATAATTCAAATTTGTCTTTACATGAGTCTTTAATTAACGTCCTCTGCAAAATGAGCTTATTTTTGAAGTCTCGATATAGAACATATCAATTTCAATTTTTTCTTATTTATATGTAGAGGACTGATTGGGAATAACCACCTTGAGCTCAGAAACTATTTCTAAACTAACCTCTGTAGAGGTTAGACAATTTTTAAGTTTACAATGTTTTATACCTTCCATTTGGTCATTAATCAATTCAAACCCATCTTACTGACATTTGCGCAATCAATCAGCAAGCAAAAAGGAACATATTTCAATAAATTGTCAATACTTGGTTAATGATGATGTCAGAGGGAATGGCCAATATATCATGTACATGACAAGCTCTGGCTGGGTCAGTTTATAGATTCCCTGGATACTATTTAATATGCTTGCTTACCTCAAGTACAACTCTCTCACTGACATTTTTGAAGATATCACTCTTGACATGATGCGCATACTTGTTGAATTTCTTGTTCCATTTCGATGTTGCTGAACTGTTCAAAGTGCCATCTATGTTGTCGTCCTTCATTCCCATCAGTTTAAAGCCAAGAAGGTAGTACATGTACATCACTTGTGACCAACGCTTTCTGTGCCGGATTCTCTGCTTGTCTTTGAGATGGCAAACAATTATGTTTCCTCCTGGGAGGGTCCAGATGAGCTTTCCACCATATGGTGTTGGAATCTTTGTTGGGTCATCTATGTCAACTGAACTCTCATGTACCGAACTAAAATAAAAAATGTACATGTATTTCAATCAAATTATTTGGAAAAACTAATTGGCTGCATTTGATTTTGGATAATGAATGGAGAAACCCTTAATAAATAATCTTATGATATCTGTTTATTCAGTCTTAATATTATCCAGGGATATAAAAACATTTTGATATACATTTTTCTTTTTCTCTTTGATTGGTACAGTCATTATACTTGTTTATTTATAATTGTATGAATGTAAATAAAAGGTTGTCTTACCAAGCTGCTCTCCCCATAAGTGCACACAGTTGTTTGACAAACTGGTTTGGAATAAATTTGTCATCCTCAGTCTGCTCCATACAATCATCAAAGAAAATATGAGCTGGAAATAAATGTTCTTTAATATAAGTAATATGTTATGCACATTATTAGTGCCAGAAGGGGAAAGACCAAAAATACAGTCAGAAAAATGAGCATTTAACAGTACAACCATTTGTAAGGAACCAAACACGCACCCTTATATAAAATATCTATAGTAACAAAACAAACATTAAATATATACAAAAATATATTTATTACGTCATAATGCGATTTCATGTACAGTTATCTGAAGATTTAAAATGAGTAATAACTGAATTTCTTCTTCGTTTTCTTTATTTTCTTTAATAATTAAAATATCATATATATATATAACACCCTTTTTTTTTAAATGAGAATTGATCAAATAATGAGAATATATAGTTCCACTATTTTATGAATTTGATTTGAACAAAATTTATGCCGGGCATAAAATTTGTTCCAAAATTTATGCCCGGCATAAAATTTGTTCCAAAATTTATGCCGGGCATAAAATTTGTTCCAAAATTTATGCCCGGCATAAAATTTGTCCAAAATTTATGCCGGGCATAAATTTTGTTCAAATCAAATTCGTAAAATAGTGGAACTATATATTCTCACTATTTGATCAATTCTCATTTCAAAAAAAAGGGTGTTATATATATAAATTGATTAAATGTCCAAAGAAACAGTGTCTAAATGACTAAGTTCACATGTTAAGTCAAACGTTGCAATAGAAACTTTAAAGGATCTTACTTAGAAGCATTTTGTCTATCTTTGTTTTCATCATTGGCCTGAGATTGCTCTTCATACTTTTAGACATGTAAGCACATTAGTGCCAAAACTTTGAATAAGAGTATGACCTAACATTTGACCTTTAGTTGAGATGGAATTTTATAAGTTGAATAAAGTACATAAAGTAACATTATCTACCTTCAAATTCATAGTAGTCAGGATCTTTGATACCAAAATGCTCCTGGGCAAGTCTCCGTGCACTTTGGTCTGTGTCCATCCTCATAACGGATTTCAACATTTGAATCATTTCATTCTCGTTCTCATGCCACATGGTCGCACATATATAGATCTGAGTAGTGACATCCTCTAAGTCAGCCTTCTTACGTGATCCTCCTCCAATCTCACTTTCTTCGTCTTCATCTTCTGCTGCTTCATAAAGGTCCTTGTCATTACGTCTGCGGTTGAATAACATGGATTGGTCTATCAAGGCAGCCTCGTAGTTCGGCATCACAAATATCCTATAAAATAGAAGTTTCAAAGTCTGGAATGTCATTTTTATGTCATTTTTGGTTGTGATTTTTTTATATTTGTTTATTTTATCTGATGTGTTATACATTAATAGTGATAGAAATTATTTCCTTTCATATGGATAATTCCAGAAAAAAACTCAAGAATTTCATGGAGTAGAATGAATAACTTTGCTCATTTATATGGCCTATTGGAATGGCCCCAAAGTGTCCCACTCAACTCATATAAACAATTAACAGTTTATACGATTTATTTGATAACATAGATTCATTCATTATCATTCATTATTAGTAAACACTTACCTGTCAGTAGTAGCAAGTCTGTCATTAGCAGGGAACCATACATGTCTAGCCAGCCACATCATTGAGAGCCACCAAACCAATAGTCCAAACACAAAGTGAAATGTAAAGGCAGGCTTCCAGACATCTGTGGGTATATTCCAGTATGTAAACTCATTATACCTGAAAAATGTTTTGACGATAAGGAAAATGATGACAAGAACAACATGAAATACAAAATAAGTGATTGTTGAAGCATTATGTGAATTTGGCAAAATATGATTGCAAAAGTTATACTGATTCTATTTAAAAGCCCAATTTTGCAGAGATGTGTTATGAACTATAAAAACTAAAGAATGTCTATATCATGTTAGTGCCTATGTGAGAGATAAATATTTTATGTCATAATCATACCTGAAGAGGTCAGGGTTGTTGAAGTATCCCAAAATGATGAACCACAAAATAGTAACAGGAGTTGTGATGCATAATGGAATGGAGAAACAGATTCGTTGCTGCAGTAACTTCACGGCAGTTTTCGAGAAAAAGAAGACTGCATAAGAAGTTGTGACTTGGATGATGAAGGGCACATAGGTGTATAGGCATCTAAAGTAGTCCCCATCATAATCACATGGTATTTCTGGAGCTCTTGTTGGTTTCAGGGTTGTAGTAGTACCATTTAGTCCAGGAGTGTCACTTGCAAAGGCCTCTATCACATTCAGAATGTCATAAGATGTTTCGCTTGAGTTTGTTACTGTTGTATTTACGAAAGGTTGGGTTGGACTCACAATACTTGGATAGAGAGCAAATGACATAAGAAACACAACGATACATTTCCACAAGCTGACGAACATGTATGTCTTGATACGAACATGTTGAAGTACCTCTCTGAAGTACCTCAAAGGAATTTCTACTGAACCAAGATAAATGTCCTTATCTGCAAAATTTTCCCACCAACCAAGTGAAATCAGGAGTACTGAAACTGGAATCTCCCAAAAGACATCACCACCTTCATTCAGCTTAATCCAGTCACTGCTAACAGCAGCAGGGTCACTGACATTACATGAATTGGTGAAAGTGAGCATAACAACAAAGACAGTCAACTGCATCATTAACGCCAGGATATCAAGTGTGTATGTTATAACACGTTTCTTGGAGCTGTCAGCGTCCCTCTCAGTGAAGAGTATGATAAGGAATGATGGTATTGAGAAGACTGTTGTCATGACGAGGGTTGCTCGGATGACATCTAAACATGGCAACACTCTGAGAACAAAGAGTGACATTCCAACTCCATGTACTGTCTCCATGAACATACACTGAAAATTATCAAATGGGTTACCATTTGCATGCATTACTTGGTTTACAAGCACTAGACGCCCCAAACGAGGGCATATCAGTGCATGTAAAAGAAGCATTATTATCAAAATACATCATATACAGAGTATTTAAAAGACATTTAAAAGCAACCGTTACGTACAATAGTCCTTTTTGTAATCCTTGGGAGGTCACTGTCAGATGTTATTAACTTTTTCTACAATTATTATAATTGAGTTTAGTCATCATAATGAGCCAATCATTGTTAATTCAAATTATTGACAATAATTTCATTTATGGCAATGTGAGAGTCGGTTAAGGTTTAGGTATGAACAAGCCCTAAGAAGACCATTCCCCGGTTATCCCAGGTAAATGTTTCTGGTAAGTTACACTGAACGAAACATCAAGCTTCAGATCTCGAGAGTACGAGATGAGACTTCAGACGAGATATCGATAGGATTGTAGTTGGAGGGTTTTCTCCCTAGGTGCGTACAAAATCCATTAACATCAATGTAAGTTATACATTTCGATTCTTTTCCCTCACCTCCTTCCCCAGCTTACACCACCATTTGGAGATTTATTTTCGCCCAAGAAGATGAGTTGGAGATGGTATTATAATATATCCAATTGAGCTAATTAACAGTTATGTCAAAGTGTAAACTCTTGTAGCTAATTAACTTAAATTAGCCATTATTTTCCAAGGTATTGTGTTTTGTGTTAATTGGCTCAATATTTATTTATATTAATTTTATATTAATAATTTTACATGTACGACTCTCACGGCCATATCTATACTCTACATGAACATAAATTATGGTTATGATTGCTTGTTTATTCCCTGCTTGTTGTACATTGAACTTACCCATATAAATGTTTTGCCAGAAGGCCAAGGGAAGTTTCCGAACAATGCCCTTAGAATGGTCTCTAAGAAAGTAAGACCATATGGTACACAAATTGTCCCTGCCGCTATTAGAACCCATCGATCTCTCTTCCATTCATCCTATAGAAAATTGACATAAGCATACATTTTGTAATTATGGTAAGTTGATTTCTGATGCTGACAAAAAACCATGGAAGGTGTCGCAACATTTTTTAGACTGACCTATGTTGGATTGTGGCTATTTTCTGAAGATTTAAAAAGGTGCATTAATGTTAGGCCAATGCATTATCTCAAAGATGAAAATCAGGAAAACATTTTTGAAAATATTTGGGCTGGGTGTTTGCACCTTCCCTGTCTCGAAGTCTAAATTATTTGATCATCTCTATGAGTACTTTTCCTTTAGATAATGCATTGGCCTAACATTTGCACCTTTTTAAATCTTCAGGAAAAAGCCACAATCCAACATAGGACAGTCTAAAATCTGTTGCGATACCTTCCGTGGTCCTTCAATGTCTTGTTGCTTGACAAAACCCCCAACAGTTGGCATTGGTGATATGCCATTTTTATAAAACATTTTTCTATGTGAAGAAATAAGATATAAACACATAATGTGTCAAAGTTCATATTTACCCATTCTTCTGTTCCCAGTTTGTGTGTCTCGTGAGTTATAGAATTGAGGATAAGCATTAAGGATGCTTTGCTGGTTAAAGCTGCTGCTAATATGAACAGGAAAAGAAAGATGTAAGACAGTGCCTTTGCTGCTTTGATCAGTGCTCTGATACATGAATTGCCGGAGACATGTTCATTGTCTTTACTCTGCATTTGGAACACATCCCAGTCCATGTAAGCGTCATCTAGACTCCTAAAAGAAAAAATATTATGGATAATATAATGTATCCATATTTGTAGTCTCCCATACATCTTCTCTATTTGCATATTCTACCAAATATTCAGAATTCAAACAAACTTTTAGTAACTTACTCCTTGTCTTCTTCAATGTTTCCGTACATCTCCTCAGTTGTTTTAATGCCATTTTTCAATATTTTCTTGAGTGGTTTCCCATCTGATATAGTTACCACAGGAACATTTCCATTTGGAAAATCATTATTGTTATTTTCCATGCCTTCAACATTGCCATATCTTCGTCCAGATTTACCAGGTTTGAAAGTAAATTCATCGTGAGTGGGACCTGTATAATCTGATACATCATCGTCATATGGGAGTTCAAAACCTTGGTTTGTAAAACCATACGAGTGTTCGGGTATTTTGATATTAATTGGAGGACTTGGATAGGTGTCATCTTCTAAATGAGGATTATGAACTACAGATTTCATTTCAAGTTTAGGTTTTTCTGGTAATGAAAATCTCTTGGGTTTCTCTTTTGGTGAGATTTGAGGCCTTGGAGTAGGTATTGGAGATTTTGACTTTTTCTGCATCTCACGTGGGGCCTCAACTAAATGATCTGGTTCTTCAGTGCTGGACAGTGTATCCATTTGAACAGGAGGTAGTTCAACAAAGATTTCATCTTCCTGAATTCCAGAATCCGTACACCGAAACTCCAGAGCATGGCGCAAAGATCCTTGTTTAATGACAGGGACTGGAGGTGGTGGACCTAGGGGCAGTTCTGCATTATTTTCTTTTTTCGAGTCCCTTTTCCTCTCAACACTTCCCTTTCTGATATGTGGGTTTGTGGAGTAAGGACTGTGATCAGGGGATAAGTAAGGATTGTCAAATATTGAGCTTCGTCTCATGCCTGATGTTAACACCTTCTCTGTTCCCTATAAAATAATTCAATTCAACTAGTATCTTTTCATTATAGGTTTGGTATGGTCACTTCCAGAAATATAAAGCTATAATCATAAATTATAATTTGAACTTCTATTCTACATTTTCTTCAGGCAAGCTGTAATTTTATTTCATGACATTTCTTGTATTTTAGTAATTGTCAGTACATTGTTTCATTATGTTAGTTACAATTCAAATTAACATGTAAAAGTAAAGATTTGAATTCTTACTGTATCTGATGTCAGGACAAGTTTGTCTGGGAGACTCATTGTATAATCCTATGTGTTTTAATGGACACTGTGACTATTAATTCATCTTTTCACTTTTGTGTGCATCTTATTATATCATATTCAGTTTTAGATTTGTCACTTCTTGACTGTTCAAGAATCAGTTTTGATAAAAGTTTGTTCTATTGTCCTACTGCGTTAAGTAATTTCTTAGTACTAAGTTATGTCTGGCAGTAGGAGGATCTCATTGGGGATCAAAGATCAGAATTTTGGAGGACTCTTGGAAGATGTACGTCACTACAGGAGTACTCAAGCTCTGACCACATGCCATATAATGGACATCTTCAACAATGATAAATCAGGCAACAATTTACCCTGACATGACTTTCCAGTAGCAACTCACTGCCATGGCAACATTCAGTGTTTCTAAATATAAGGGGTTCACATGTTTCATATCAGGGTTCGTGTGAAAATACAAAGCATGGTTATTAGTTTTGATATATAGAGACTACTTATCATCTATTTTTAAATTTTTTTAAAGGGAATCTTTAATTCCAGATGGGGCCAATATACTAGAGGTGATATGGAATCATAAAATTCTATACTGTTTACAGGTTTTTGATGTGCATATGTAACATCAACTGCCATAAAACAATAAATTTCATCTTCACCTGAGAGAATAAGGCAATAAACAGGAGTGGCATTAAAGATAAAACCTGGAGGGGATTGGACCCATACATACCCAACATTTAACCTTAATTTATATTTTCCTAAAAAAGCCCAAACTTGGCAAAAAAAGTCAAAAATAAAATTCTACCCTCTGTCTGATACTTTAGAGTTGTTAAATATTTAGATTCTTTAAATCTGATTTTTGAAGAATTCGCTAAATTTTTCCTAATTTTTATTCAAATTTGGTCAAAGGGTATGATAGAGTGTTATCTTTGAACTAGAAGCATGGATGAGAAGGATGACGCCATTAAGCTATGTTGGAATGAATATTTAGAATACACACTCTGTTGGAATTCTTTGATTGTTGATATGAGATATTCAACTTTTCTACATTCCTAATTGATTGGTATGAGAAAATGCAATAGGAGCCATCATAAAAACATAATGGGCAATACTGTAATAGTGTAGTAGCAACAAAGCAACATTTAATTTGATTGAGGTAATTTGAGGTTTCGGAAACTAATAAATTCTGATTGAAGGTTGTTCTTGACTTTCACTTGAGATTCAAGTAGATCAGGTATATTCAGTTTTCAGTAGCGCCAATGTCCCTGGTATATATATTACCCTATTTGATCTGATCAATGGACTTGATACATGGCAAGTCATCAGCCTAGATAACTTCTAAGGAAATGCTCAAACTTCAATTTCTTTTCTGTTTCACCAGGTGGTGATGTTTATGTCATTTTAAATCTCTGTTTTCAGGGTAAGACTACAATATAAGTTGTTTAAGTTTTACATGTAGAGAGTGCTTTTACAATTAAATAATATTAAGACAATCCTTCAAATACAAACATAGCATTTGATCTTTGAAGTAATTGAATTTAGATATAGGTTTAAAGGTTTTTATTATCATAAAATCAATACCATGTTACATACAGAGCAATTGAATTTAGATTATCCCACTTAAGCAGGTTTACCAGTTCTTGTAATACATTAAAGTTTTGTTTTATTAATACTCTTAGGCTTCCACTAAGCTGTTTCAAAAATATTGAATGCTATAATGTGCACCTCAAATATTTGTCGGCACATTTCCAAGTAAACTGTTTAAAAACTGTAAACTGCTCCTGTAACATGATTAGTTTTTATTATGGTTTATTTATAACAAGATTAATCGATTTGTCTGAATTTTGAACTCTTAAATCATAAAAATCTGAATTTATTTCCGCATATTTTGTCTTCAATATTAAGCTCTATCATTCTGTAATCAGGAGTATATATCTCGATCTGTTCGGTTTGCCCAAGGAGATGGAGTAGGTATATGGTATATGAATGTATAGATAATAATTTTACATTCTTCAATTGAAAAATTGCTGAAATATTCAATATTTTAATTACCTATAGTTATCAGCTACCCTAATAAAGATATGTACATGTATGTTACTTTGAAACTCAGTAGAAAGATGACCCTCTCTTTTAAGTATGCAAAATCAAGCTAAAAGTACATTGTACTATAAGGATCTTAATATCTTGTAAAATTAAGAAATATAAATTAATTGAACCATTTTCCTATAAATGTTAATATTAAGAGAATCTGAAAAGGTTCATTTCTGTAAGTTTGTAATTCAAAGATAAGAAGTATGTTGCTATTATATAACAAAACCGGATAGATGATGTGTGTGTACTTTAATATTGCCCGATTGGCATAATACACTTTTGTTTCCATTCAAGGCTATGGTGGAAGATGGTATCCCCCTGTCAATGTGTTTGAATAGATTCAATCACTGGCTCACAAAGATTGCTGATGAGAAACACATTGTTTACAACACCCATACAGGCAATAGTATTGACTTCAACCTCTGCACATTCGTCACTTGGTCAGGTTAGTTGACATTTGGATCTCCAGTCTTATTTTCAGTGCCCCTGGGGGACAGATCATGAAAGACTTAGTCTTATTTAAAATCTAAGGTCCCAGAATGGTAAAAAAATGCCGCCAGTCCGCTTTACAAAATCACGAAAAGTTAAATATTTTTTTCTTTATTGGACAGATTTGTTTTACTGGACATATATTCATTAGAATTTTTCTTCAAAACTCAATATTTGTTCAAGTTGATACAATTGTCTCTCGAACTAGAGATTAGCCTTATTTGAAAGATCATAATAGACTGAATCTACTGAAAATCTAAGGTCCCAGAATGGTCAAATATGCTGCTGTCCGCTCCCAGTAGATTAGATATGAGTTTAAGAAACTACATTCCTTTATTCATCTTAATATTGAGGTGCACATTCACACTTTTGAGAATGTTAGAATACAAGTCTAACTATCCTTTGCAGGAGACAGTTTTCAAAAAGTCTGTTATTTAAATCACTCGATTATCATATGGCTACATGTATGTGTTTCTACTGAAATTTTAAAACCACAACACATAGAACTACTATGCAGAATGATAAAAAACACAAAATGACCACTTAATTCCACTTACTATTTCACAGAAGGTAAAAAATATACCCTGCCTAGATTTTCTGTAAGGGTTGTCAGACAAATGAATATAAAATTATACCTATAAAACGCCATTAAAATATGAACATTGATAAAAGAAGATCACAATATGATAACCCTTACATGAAAAGTTATGTAATTGATTCATCATTGATAGAGGAATATTTCTTGCAACAGGACATCTGGAGATATTTTGATCTTTTGAAGATCACATTTAGCACACAAATGTACTTATGGTTCAAAAGGTCACATGACTTCATAATAGCCTCTACTTAAACACGATTTATTTATTTATATTATTGTATCTTCAAATTTTATGTGAATATTTATGTGATTATTATCAGTCAGGTTTCAGTTTGTGCAGAAAAAAGTGGTCACCAATTAAATTGTGGAAAATCACTTTTGAGCCATAACACAAGAATTATTGCTTCGATATGCAGTATGCATTGAAATTAATCAAATAAGTCCTCATTTAGCTATCAGTATATTTTGAAGTTCATGTACATGCACCAGCAAAAACTCATGAAAAATGTAAAATGAATGTCAATCTTATAGCACCATAACCAGGGCTCTCACCAGGAAATATTTAGGATGTGGTGCTAACATATTCAGAATAACCGTCCATTCGTGATAAATCATATTTATGTTATATTTTATCCTTTTTACATGCTATTATTGTATATTCAGTCAAGTTCAGACTGTGGAAACAGTCATGATTTGCCAATAGGGTGTGGAGGGAGCTAAATAGAGTATGGTGCTACGCCACAGTCTCAAAGTCTGGCGAGAGCCCTGATAACTAATAGATTATATGCATTTTATCTTGTCATAAAATCTAGAAGAAATGGTCAGATTTTTCTGTGTCTTCCACTTACTCCATTGCACAATGTAAGTCCCAATACTTATAGGATGTGGTTATTATCCCATCGAACGAAGTTCAGAGGGATATAGGGAATGCCTCCCTCCGTCCATCCGTCCGTCCGTACGTTCGTACGTATGTCCGTCCGGGCAATAACTCAAATACCCTTGGCCCGATTTTGTTCATATTTTGTACACATATACCCTATGGGGGTAGAAGTTCTGCTCGAAAGCCGATTTTCAAAATGGCCGCTCATTTAAAAATGGCGGCCATTTTAGTGCCGATTTTACAGTAATTTAGGTCCAATATGTAAAACTGTAATAGCAGTATGTTTTAAATGTAAAAAATTATATAGGACATTGATTAAGCTAGAAATGTAGATATTAAAGAAGCACATGGCAGCCATCTTGAAAAATGGCAACCTTTACTAGTTATTTTACGATTTTTGCTATAACTCAAGAAGTAGTGGCGCGATTTTGTTCATATTTGGTAAGTTAATACTATAAGCATGGCTCACTGTCTAATGACACTTTTGGTAGGAGGTGGCCATTTTGAAAAATGGCCGCCATTTTGGAAAATAGCCGCCATTTTAACATATTTTACTATAACTCAAAAAGTAGTGGAGCGATTTTCTTCATATTTGGTTTGTGAATACTATAAGCATGGCACACTGTGTAATGACACTTTTGGTAGAAGGCGGCCATTTTGAAAAATGGCCACCATTTAAACGTATTTTACTCGTCCTTTACTCGTTATGTTACGAGTTTTGCTGTAACTTGAAAAGTAGTGGAGTGATTTTGTTCATATTTGGTATGTGAATACTATAAGCATGGCACACTGTCTAATGACACTTTTGGTAGAAGGCGGCCATTTTGAAAAATGGCCACCATTTTTAAGTATTATACTCGAAAAGTAGTGGAGCGATTTTGTTTAGGGTTGAGGTTGTGTTCCTCAGATGTCAACTCCAAAACATGAAGTAACAATATTTTAAACTTCAAAATTACACATTGAGTTTTTGCCAATAGGTCTAATTCTTATCAAATGTAATTAGACAAATTTTGACTCAGTTGGCAGCTTTTTATTATCTCACCGAATCATGTTCGAGGGGGATATAGGAAAGCTGATCAAATTTTCATCCGATCGAATACTGTTTCACAGATTTGCTTCAACTTTTATAGGCTTATGGGTGTAGGACCTCTGCTCAAGAAGGAATTTTCAATATGGCTGCTTAATTCAAAATGGCCACCAAAGATGGCTGTTGAATTCCAAAATGGCTGCCATATTTCGTAAAATACATAATCTTTGATAACTCAAATACCAGTTGACAGATTTGTTTCAAATTATATATGCTGATGCCTAGAGACGAAGGAGCTCTGCTTGAGAAGGAATTTTCAAGATGGCAGCTGAATTTAAAAATGGCTGCCATTTTTCGTAAACACAAATATATAAAGGAGTTCTGCTCAAGAAGACATTTTTAAGATGGCTTCTGAATTTCAATTCGAAATGGCCACCATTTTTCGTAAAAAACTAATATTGGATAACTCAAATATCATTGGACGGATTTGCTTCAAATTTTGTATGCTGATGCCTGTGGACAAAAAAGCTAAAATTTGATATTGCTGCCGTTTTTCACAAAGACATGCTTTTTGATAACTTAAATTGATGGATTTAAATTTTATATGCCAATGCCCAGAGATAAAGCGCTGCTTGAGAAAACATTTTCAAGATGGCCACTTTTAATCAATGTTAAATTTTAACCCAAATACCAGGTATATTTAAATGTATTTTATTTTAATATTTAAATGCTGATGTCTAGGGTCAAAGGAGCTCGAGAAATTTTAAGAAATTTGGAAGATGGCAGCTAAATTTCAAAATGGCCACCATTTTTCATAAAAAAATATAATCTTGGATAATTCAAATACCAGCAGACGGATTTGATTCAAATATTATATGTTGATACCTGTTCAAGAAGGCTACTATATATCAAAACATTTTTGTTCGGTGGGATTTGCTACTCCGTGGAGTTGTTTTCTAGTTTTTATCTTTCCCTGCAACATTGTACAGAAGTTGATTACATTTTAATTTTTAAGAAACACTGTATACATACATTGTTATAGGATTTTCACACTAGCCACAATTTTCACTGTAAGCTGAAAGACAAACAGGTCCAAGCTTGAACTCCTTAATGTTCAACAATGAATTATATAACTCCAAAATATTTTATAATGGATATATAATACAGGCCAGTGGATAAATAGGTTTATACCCTTTTCATGTTTTGTCATTTGATACCTAGGGTCAACAGGTGAGCAAAAGCCAAGAGCAAATCATAAACAATTCAGTGCTAATAGTGAATGAACCAAAATGGAGCTTACATTTTATAAACGCAGACAACATTTCAATGCAATGGACATGTGAATTAAGTTTTATATATTATATACATGTGCATGTATTTGTATTTTAGATTGGGATCTCTCAGTTTGTTTGCAATATGAGTGTAGAAGGAAACAGTTGAGGAAACATGCAGCTCTTAACAGCTGGGTTGACCTCAGAGCTACATACAAGGTAAGGCATGTTTCATCTTAGCAGTGATCTGCCCAGCATTAAAGCAAGTAGGCGCAGCACCCACCTGAGATTTTAAGTAGGCCTGCACCCACTTGAAAAAGAGAAAAAACATGAAAAATGGGCACATTTTGACCAATTTTGGTCTGAATTGTGAAATGAGAATTTTGCATCCACTTGAGAAAAAATCCTGTGGAGAACACTGCTTGGGCATGTAAGGGAGTTCAGATCTTCAGAAATTTTAATGGATTCCTATTGGAGTCCCATGTTATTTTCAGATACATACAACTAATTGTTCATATGGTCTACATATTTTAAGGGGTACATAGGTTTTCCTAGATTTATAGTTCAGGGTTAAATATAGGTCACTAAATTTTCTACCTTTTTGAAAATCCATTAGTACTTAACATCTAGGTACTCTTTGTTCAATACTGAAAATTGTAAACCCTGAATGGATTGGAGGGAGTTACAGTATGTATGCCTTAAAATGATATTTAATTAGTTAGGAAACTATTATTATTCATGAGCATAACGGAACTACCTTAAAATTACGGGGTAGTATTTGGATAGTAGGAACCTTAATTACCCCAAAATATTTGTAATTCATAAACATGGTTGAAATTAAAGACAATTTCTCGTCAAGAAGGAATAATGTTGAAACTAATTTAAAGACAGCTCTTCATCCTAGTCAAATAGGATGCAAGCCAAGAAAGAAAAAGGTTGAAACTAAATTTTGGACAGCTCCTAGTCAAAAAGGAGTATGGTTGAAACTAAAGACAGCTGCTTGTCAAGAATGAATAAAGTTGAAATAAGACAGCAGCTAGTTTATATAAAAAGGAGTAAGGTTGAAACTTAAGATGGATGCTAGTCAAGAAAGAAAAAGGTTGAAACTAAATTTGAGACAGCTCCTAGTCAAAAAGGAGTAAGGTTGAAACTTAAGATGGATGCTAGTCAAGAAAGAAAAAGGTTGAAACTAAATTTAAGACAGCTCCTAGTCAAAAGGAATTAGGTTGAAACTAAAGACAGATGCTTGTCAAGAAGGAATAAGGTTGAAATAAGACAGCAGCTATTTTTTATATGAAAAGGAGTAAGGTTGAAACTAAAGACAGCTGCTAGTTTATATAAAAAGGATGGAGGTTGAGGCTTGTAGGCTGCTGTTTGAGTCAAAGAGTGTATTAGAAACAACTCTGACTGAATCAGCAGCTTATCCAAGCTTTATCTAAGACATCATACAAATGTTTGTGTATAATCAAATGTGTACCCCTGTAGGGTGTGGAAAATAATCACAAGTATGTATTTATGAAACAGCTTATCTAAGCTTTGCCAAAGATGTATTTGTTTGTGTATAATCAAAGGTATATCCCTGGGGGTGGCAAATGATTAAAAGAGTGTACATTTATTTTTACAACAGTTTATCTAAGGTTTGCCAAAGACTATTACATGAATATGACCCGCAAAATTAGATATCGACAAATTAAAGCAACTTACTATTTATGATTTAAAGTTGACCTTTTTAAGAACCTCTATTCTTACTATTGAAAATGTATTCTCCAATATGAATCTACTTGTTTAGACTCCATCAACTTAAGTTCTTCTGGGAAAATAAGGATTTCAGCAAGGATGCATTGGCTTAACATGGGGCTGACTTTTGACTTAGCATCGGGATACCATCATGTATGTCCACCTTCATTTGCATATTAAATTTTTCCCCTAAGTTGATTTTTTGGCAACCCCACTAAATCACTTCATAAATCCCTAATGATAGTGATTACACTGTAAAACCTCATACTTTTACATATTCATACATTCAGAAAATGACAAATGGACTAAATGGTTAAGATAACTTAATGGTAAAGTGAAAAAATGTTCTTTACACAATGGTTCCCTGGATAGTTTAATGACTCAAGGTTACTTTCAAAAAATTATACAATCTTAGTTTTTTCAGAATTGCTCTTTGAAAACCATGTATGTTTTCAACTTATATATTGTTAAGAGCAAAGTGCAACAAAATATTACAGGCTAGAATCACTAATCATTTATATTAACTAAGAAATTCATTTTTCAACATGCAATATCATTATTTATTTGTCCCGAAGCTGAGAACATGTCAAAAGTACACTTGAACTTTTAGGCACCAAAGAACTTGAGTAGAAAGCTTAACACAGATTATTAAAACTTATTTAATAATATATAATTATATTTCAATAAATGTTCAGAATAAGTACAAGTAGTTCATTGGAGACTCTATTTATATTCGTGGATGACATCTAGGTATGTTATTGTCGGGGTTGTAGACTAAGATTATTTCAAGTGGCATCTCGTCTATTGGAAAATTACATTGACACTTTCCAACTACCACCAGCTCAGTAGTCAAAATGGTATTTTTTGCCAATACCATTTATTATAGGATGTTTATTAATCCTTTTCGAGCATTTCCAAACAAACAGCTCAAGGGTTTGATTTCCTATGCTTAATAATGCTAGTATGAAAGTCTAGCCGTGATTTGTTTAAATTACAATATTCCAATTTCCAGGTTTCTTAAAATATATTTGCATGACAGTTTTCCAGGTCAGTATCCAGGTCAGCGATTTAGCCATCAATTCAGCCCCATTGAATTATATTTCTCTTTATTTTGGCATGTGTGGAAGGGATTTAATCACAAGAATTTATCTATTATATGTGGAATAATTCACTTGATTAATTGTATGCAAATACTCACCCTTTAGGTTTATATCTCTCTGCACATATACTTTAACATGATGCATCGTTTTCCATTGAGTAGATATAGATAGGTTCTTGTGCTTAAACCTTCACCCAATGCTTACTGACTGCAGATGCTATAAGACTTGGTTCTGTGCTGTTGGCTACTGTTTCAGCCACTAAGTGTTTATTAACCACTCTGACTGAATCAGCAGCTTATCCTGTGCAGAGACCTCAGCAACAAATTTCATTTAGAAATGAAGAGAGATGCATTTATTCAGGATTTTTATTGACAAATATTTTAAAAAGACCTCAGCAACAAATTTCATTTAGAAATGAAGAGAGGTGCATTTATTCAGGATTTTTATTGACAAATATTTTAAAAAGATATAATGAATGTCCAAGCCTGGGGGGAGGTACTCTCATATATTGTACGTATATAGGATGTTTTGGAAGAAAAATTCCTAGATATGGGTTCTATTTTGAAGAAAGAACAGTAGATATAGGTCCCATCTTGACGAAAAAATCCCTAGAACCGGGTCTTCTTTTTGAAATCCTAAATCTCGGTATTGTTCTTGAAAAAAATTGCTGGAAGTGGGTTCATGTGTTGGACATTTTGAATCTTTTGAATATGCCTTAATCATCAAGTCACATACATTTTTTGTATTGTATCTCTGGGTAATTTTATTTTTATTTATCACATATATTTATTGTAACTTTTCTTTGCCAAAGCTTTGCACTGATAATTTCTAAACCAATTACATATTCACACAAGTTGAATTTTGATCAACAACCTTCTACTACAGTAAAATTTTTATTAATTTTTGGAACTACTTTGAATCTAAAAAAAATAAGCAATCAAAGGACCATATTAAAACAGTACAGTGTTATGTAAAAATAAGAAGATAGCCAAACTACAAAACAAACAAAAATATACAAAAGTTAGGCCATGTATAAATGTTCATATGTGTGGCCTCTTATATTTTGATGCTTCTCTGCCATGTTAGTATTTTCGCAAAAATTTACATTGGCTGAAACTACCTAAATTACAAAAGGCCATAGCTTTGCTGCACATTATACATAACTATCTGAAATAAACAAAAGTAAGGCCTTGTACATATGTTTCTATTTTTCATATACTTTTGCTTATTTTTCAAATTCAAAGTAGTTCCAAACATTTTAAATTTAACTGTACTGTAATTTGATCAATGGGGCAGAGCAGTTATGTGTTACCGCATAACACATGGTATGGATCACTGCAACAATGAATTTAAAAAAAAGAAAAATAGCACATATCATTATTGCTGCCATTTTGAATGTTGACTAGACTAGTGCTGTATAATTAGTGTATTTGTAGAAAGTGGATTCATAATACTATAACTATGCTTAACCCATACTTTTAACTCTGAAAACTCTTACCAGATTGATGTAGTCTCACATGACATGTTGAATATCAGATGTTTTTGGGTGGTATCTGCTCCAGTGATTTTGCATTCAATCATGAAACACTCATCACCAGACACCTCAAAACAAACATTATACAATATGTTCTGATATATGACAAAGAACAATACACCCGATGGGGTCACTGTTTTATTTAGCGTTCAGGTGTAAAATCAAAAATGCGTAATTAGTTTGGTTCAGCACGTTCGGGTCACGCAAATAGCTACGCGAAATGCATAGTGAGAAAATATCGACCTATCAAATTTTGTCCTTTTTGGGGCTTTTAAGTACCTTTTCGATTCATGAATTGGAGAATTGAATTGACACGTTTCTTTATGCAACCTTGAAATGATGTAACCCAGCCATTTTTAATAAAAGGCTTTATATTATGCTGACTCATACTTATAAAAACAATCAGTCAGTCGATGTGACGTCAAATGTGACGTCACCCATTAATTACGCTCAGTGGAGGTCTGCAAATGTAATTGTTTGGGCAACTTTGTATTGTATATTATGTAACCCAGGCAATTTTTTAAATAATATACTTAATATTGTAAAGGATCATACTTATTTTGTGGGATAATTATCCCTTTCATATTTAGTTACTCCCACTTCATATGAATATGCTTTGTAAAAATTGCCCCAGTTTTACGTCTTTTATAATACATACCTACCAAACTAAAATAGAAAAAATATGCTTTTAATAATACAGAGTTTTGCCATAATTTTTTGAGATTTTTGAATTTTTATTTTTGAAAAGCCCAATTATTTCTCTTATTTTTCTTTTAAAAACCGCTATTTCTTATTAAAGTTTTGCTTAAACTGCAGTTCTGAATTACTTAGTTTTACATTTCAATTAAAAAGACAAATCTATACCAGCAGCTTTTTTTCAAGTGATAATTTCAGTTTTCATTTATTTCAGAGATAATGTGTGTAAAAATGTATAAATGCATTTTCAGAATTTCTATGAAAGGAAACCCAATGGATTGAATGGAGCTCTACAAGATGTTGGCATTGAGTTTGAAGGAAGACAACACTCTGGTTAGTCATTAATATTGTATTTACCTTATACCTCCACCCATTGCGATTTCCATCATTTAGCCTCTGTATGACCCTTGTATTTACCCCCATCTTCTTCATTTAGCCTCTGTTTGATCCCCATCTACACCATTAAGCCTCTGTATACCCCTTCCTTCATTTACCCTCTGTATGAATTAGCCTCTGTATAACCACCACCCCATCCTTCATTATCCCAACGAGCAAAATTCGGTAGGGATAAAGTGAAGCCGTCCGTTCCTCTGTCAGTCCATCCGTCTGTCCAGGAGATAGCTCGAATACTAGTTGACAGATTTTCTTCATATTTAGTGGAAAGATATTGGTGGATAGGTGTAAGCTAAAAAAGATTTTCAGGATGGCGCTGCTTTAAAGGTGGCAGAAATTTTTCGCAAAAATCTTGTTTTTGATTTTAAACCTAAGTAATAAATATTGTTATTTGAAATTTGGGTAGTATATTCACATCTATTTATTTCACATATATATTCCGTGTTTTTCACTCTTAGTCAGGAAAACAGGAATTAGTGTTAATTTTGAGATGTTTTATTATACTCAATTGAAAGGCAATTTAAAGTAGATTGCAAATATTGTATCATTTTTCTGAATCAGGCCTCATAAAATTCAAAATGGTTGCCTAATATGGGATTTCACAATAATTTTCTGATCTTTTCAAAGTATGGCTATGTTTTACTTAAATTGAAGGAATTTTAGAGTAGATCACAATTATGGTATTGTTTTCTGATTCGTGCCTAGGAAAGTTCAAAATGGCTGTCTAACACAGGAATTCAGACTTAGAGATCTCAGATCTCTTTAAAGTATGGTTGCATGATACATGTACTACAATGGATCTCAAATATTTTTATTCATTGGAAGAGTTGATGGTAATAATTACATTGTGACATATACAGATTCACGAATATACTGTTCGTTGAGATTTACTACTCCGTGGAGTTGCCAATTTCTAGTTTATTATCTGTATGAATTAGTCACTGTATTACCCCCACCCCATGCTTAATTTATCCTTTCTATGAATAAGCCTAACCAACATTTCATTAGTAAAAAGTGCCTGCTTTCAATCATGTGGTGTGTCATCTCCACTCGGTTCTTCACTACACTCTTAAAATATTGCCAAATGCTATTCCAATTTATTATCTCCTTATAATGATACTGATGATTTTTGTTGCATTTTCAGGTCTAGATGATGCCAAGAATACAGCCAAACTTGCCTGGCGCATGATGTGTGATGGCTGCATAATAAAGATCACAAAGTCGTTGGATTCGGTAAGGCATTGATACAGATACAGACTAGACATAGATGTGTTGTCGGCATGATTGTGGCAATATGTAAAACATTAAAGAAAATAAAGACATGATTATATTACATCCTTGACTATTGCTATTTTTATCACATTGACATCAATCCAGGGAAATTGGGAAATTTCAGTTTACCAATTATATTTTTTTGTTTTTGACGTTTAATTTTTCCATATTTTTCTTCGAAGATTTCATTATAGATTAACACAATTGAATCTTTACAATTTTAAAAAGAATGACTTTCAGTCTTCCATGAACTAAAATGATAACTTTTATGATACCATTGCTATCATCTCCATGTTTTTCTGGTCAGTGATGCCACGTGATTATGATACACGTACTTCTCTGTGGTAATTGTGAGTTACAAAACCACTTTAATTTTGAACAGTTCATGCATGTAGGTGTTATTTTGTAAAATTGGATTCAAATTGTTTTGTTGTCGTAACACCTCAGTTGGTTTTGCGTTAATTCAGAATTCATATAAGAATTACCAAAATTGGCCAATCATTGTAGTCAAATTACCAGCTGGGGGTATATTTCCGATTATATTTATTGTCAATTTCCTGCCGTTACATATGTAATGAGCTATTTGATAACAGTAAGCTTGCATAAACAAGCATTTAACAAGTCAGACTGCTGTACTTTTATATTTTTATTTCAAATATATATTTTTATAATTAATATTTTAAAATCAGCTTTTGTTCAATATTTAACAGACAAAATTGATTTTAAATCTTGTACTGTTTGAAACTTTTAGGCCAGATTTTGAATTTACAGTTTAGAAGGAAGTCTTTAGATAAAATATAAGATGACACAATAGTGCCAGAATTACAGCATTACATTTTTGTTCATTATGTTAATTATAATAGACACACCATTGAGTAGGGAAGTTACAAACTCAAGAATATATAAATAGATTATCCTAGAATGGCTCAGTATTTAACACAATGCTCCTTAATATACTTTTAGATAGTTCTTTGAAAGAAATCCTCATATACTGTAAATGATGGCCGTTTTAAAACATCCTCTGAACACAAGGCTACAGAACTTATAGCTCCTTTTCCTTGGATAGAGAAAGATCTTGGTCTGGATCTTGGAGCCCTGAAAATGTTTTTAACTTTGAAAAATTCTGTACTAAAGTCTATTGATGGCGGGATTTATGTTGCCACTATATTCTACAACCTTTCTGTTCCCTTTGCATTTGTCAGACTTCGCTTCCTGATAGATAGCTTTGACTTCATAGTTTATAACTAGACTCTGTACGCAGGTTAACTTTTTTGGTGTTTGGCATTCAAAGGTTGGTGTTTGCTGTTCAGTGTCTATAACAAAAGTCAGGTGATGACATTTGCATATTAATGCCTTCGTTTTGATTTGGGGTGTTTTGGTTAAAGTTATCTCTCATTTTGGCCATTTTATCTTGATCTACCCCCTTGTCTTTGTCGGTTGTTATTGTACAAAGATAAGAATATACCATGTACATATATATACATAGGTATTTATTTGGTGCTGCAAATTTTAACATACATTTTCACTAGTAATCTACTACTGAGTTCTCTGAATATGATGGAGGATCTTTTTTATTTAACATGAATTCCTCCTTTTCAGGCTCCATCTGGTCCTACTATCAAAAGTCATCTCACAACAGTTAGGCAGAACACAGGGTCCTCATGTGCACCAACTACCATTGGGACTGGAAACACTCGTGAACTTTTGAACAAAACACCCACTAATATGACTACCTTTATTGGGGCAAATAATGCTGGTGGGGTTGTTCTTCCACCAAATATGTTGTCTTCTAAGGTGCATCAAATGAAAGGTCACCAAAAGATGGAAACCCTCGAAAATCAAAAAAGTACATATGGTCCCAATAATCGTGGTCCTTCTAGTGACACTGAAACCTCGACCAGTAAGTCTATTACTACAGACACAATGCAAGCAACAAAAAGTCATGAAACAGCTTTGCACCAAATCTCAAACTGTACAAGAAATCAAGTTATAACTCAAACAGTGCCATCTATACCAAAGGAAGGGTTGAATTATGACATAAGAAATTTCATAACTCCACAACCTGTTCTAAAAAGACCACATGAATCAAAACAAGTACCAAACACTGGATTTAAAACCCCCAACACATGCTCAAACCAAGGCAAACATGGAGCAGCTTATACATTTCCTTTAGCCAAGAAACCAACAATAATTAACTCATCCACAAAACCCTCAAGCTCAGCTTCTCCATACGTATACTCTACAATGAAAGCCACTCCACCCATGTGCAGTTGTGGGAAACGTTCTAAACGATGCATGGCTCAAACACCTGGTCCTAACATGGGGAGAATGTTTTTCTCATGTCCAAATGGACGTAAAAGCGAAGGCTTTGGTAAAAAATCAGGCTGTGGATTTTTTAAATGGGAAAAGGAAACACCCAAAATTAGGTCTGCACCTGTGCTGAAAAGTTATTCAGGGAATATAATACGATTTTCTAGTCATAGTGCACAACCTTGCACCCCCATTGCTCAACCATGCACCCCCATTGCTCAACCAAACTTTAATTCTCCATCCACAATTGATAAATCAGTGACACAGAAAAAAAGTTTAGGTGTAAGAAATGTGGGAATGAATAAAATTAGATTTTGAGAAATTTAATATTAGAAAATAGCTTCCTTAAATTGTTAATAGCTCAAATCAAACTATTTTAAAATATCTTTAATTATAAGTCTCTAACTGAACCTGTGGAGAGTTTTTGTAACTTTTCCAAAAATGATAAACCATGACCAGATGACTGTCATCATGTCATTACATGTTTCAATATTTTGGGAAAAAAAAATCAACTGGTTCGAAGTTCACTGACATATGGCGCTTTTTGTAATATCATTATATATACTGTACATGTATATACCATTGTACCAGTAGTTGGCTAGGCAATGTTCAGCGATTTAAAAGTCTCACATATTAGCAAATCTACTAAATGCCAATTGGGAACATAACATGCGAATTAAAGTGTTACTTGGCCCATGCTTAGAAAGCTGTCTGGAAGGAAACGAAATGCCCAATTATGTACAAAGTACTTCTAGTAATGGGAAAGAATTAAGTCCTATTCAACAGTACATACAAGTTGATGTCAGCTGGTATTCGTTCATATGTGAGGAGATCTTTAACAATTTTTGATTTGTAACTGTTTACTGTATAATTTATATAGTTTCTAAATAGCTGAATAACGCTGACATCATAGATTTCACCCTTGCTTGTCTTTGATTTTCTTGGGCCAGAGGTAAAAAGTGTAAATATGTTACATTGATTTTAATAAAAAAAGAAAAATCCCTTAAAATCTCATGAAAAAACGAGAATTAGCAAGATTTCAAAGCTATTTAGAAACTCATCTATTACCATGTGGTCTTATTGTATTGCTGTGTGTCATTTCTAAAAAAAGTTGTCTTGAAGGAATGAATTGAAATAAAATTGACCTGATGCAGCTCAATGGGCAGACTTGGTTTAAATTATAAAGTGTTATTGAAATTTATTATTGTTAAATGTACTTTAAAAAAATTATAAGATTCAAATTTTAAGTGTTTAATGTACAGGAAAGTAACTGACAAATTTTAACATGTAGTAGTGAACTTCTTCTATTGCGGTTTGATAAACTATAAATAGTAAAAAGTGTGCTATAAGTGGCCTTGTGAAATCGCCTAGTACAGCACTGCTTTGGCTCACATGACCTAACGCTCATAATTCATTTCATGGCTGGTAATTTACACCATGGTGGCTCCGAACTTTTGAATCATTTTGGCAAATTAACCTTTTCACCATGTAAGCTAATTGCAATCATTTACATTACTGTTATATGAGTGGGAACATGTACAGGGTGATCCGGAAGTAACGTCAAAGGTGTTGCTATTTCAATACTACATATACTTGAGGAATCATATTGAAACTTGGTGCAGATGTTCCCCAAACATTAGAGCTAAAATCTCTAAGATAAGGCTTCTACTACTGTATTTGAATGGTTCATTGCATGGTTACTATGGTGATCCAATGTGACTTTAGCCTGGGAAAATTTAATTTTGTGAAAGAAATAAAACTCTTATGGACTTGATAGACCTAAATAAATATCAATAATCTTTCAATATATTTTTTATTTGTTTCATGTTGTCATTTGAACGTCGAATTCAAACATACTATTTTAGTGCATCATTTTATATTCTGAGAAGCATCACGATAATTTTGAGATCTCTTCATAGTAGGTACTACGATAAGTACATTGCTAAAGATGGCAATTATAAGTAATAATATGTAAACAATTATTGAGCAATTAAATGCTCATAATATTTTTTTAATAAAATAAAGTGTGTATAATGAACATTAATATTGTCATAACATAACATCGATTTACCATAGTTACCATAAAATTGGATTGGTCCAATTAAATGGCAACATCTTTTATACGTTATTTATGAATCATCCTGGTAAAAAAACAAACCAAATCATAAGACACGAATGAATATAAAAAAAATTTATTCAATAAATACATTAAACCATATTTGGTGTATTTGGACATGATGCATTTACAGTGAAATATTAAATAGTTAAAAAAAGTATGCATGTTCAGTTAAAGGAGAATGATGATTTACACTTCATATAAATTGACCTAAGATGTAAAATAATTAATAAAACTACAGCAGGTAATATTCAAAAAATCAAGTGATTTTCAAACTTAACTTTGTAAATATTGAATGAAAGGGCTTTTCCAGGGTTAGTTTAAGTTTCATTCATAATTCTTTGCATCTGCCCTGAAGCAGTTTCATTTGTTGCGTACCCTTACTACATGTACCAAGGAATGAGGCACAAATGCTCTGAAGGAATTGCTAGGAGATTGTATGCCTTTTAGAAGTATCTATAAATGGAATCCCATTTCTATTAAATGGTTGCTGATTTGCACAATATATATATTGTATATAATCTGTACTTGGTAAAAAAATTATGAGGAAATATTTTGGTATGATCAAAATTGATTATTGAAAGTCATTTTCATTTATTGTGCTGCCATCTTTGAAAATGTCTGCAACATTCTAAGCATTGATAATATGAAAAAATGATTAAGTTAAAATGAACAATATGTTTTTAAATGAGCAAATGTGACATAATCTAAAAAAAATTTCATATTTTCACACATACTTGTATTAATAGCTTTATTGCAAGACTCACTAAAATATTGTCAAGGGAGAATTCACCCACTTTTCTTGCAAACAATCCCATTAGAATGTTACCTCACAAAAATGAGATGTCATGTAATCCATAACTTTTGTAAGAGGGGCCCACAATAAGCACTGGGCATTCCTCTTTAAATAAATGATATAATAATAATAATTATTTTTTGTAATTATATAAAATCATTATACAGTGATTCCATCCTTTTCAACATGGAATTCAACTCTTGTTCATTTGAATTTGTCAGTGTTGAAGGCTAAATCCCATAATTGCAATGTTCCCTTTTCTGTAGTTAGGTATCGTTGGGGGTGGTTTCCTTGCCCTACTGCCTGCCTGGTTCTGGGGGGTGCTGGAGTTGGATGAATCAGAACTAGTCCCCAGGGGCCCTGGAATTGAACATATTGCACATGTATTGCTGTAAACAGAGGAGAGTTTGGATTGAGTCTTGGATAATATAGCACTGAGTATTCATACTACAACTGCCATCTTTAAATGTAATTTGAACTACTAGAACATTGAATATACACCCATATGATGCATTTGAAAGCTACTATTGATGCATGCTCAGACTCCTAATTAATTTTTTTTAATAAATCCTAAGTATTCGTACCTCTAATTTGTTTTCTGATAGTCATGCCCTGTCCTCTATCTGAATTATTCTGGTGAATTGTAATGGGTGGTGTTATTGCACTTTCCATTTCAATAAGGTCTCGGTCTGAAAAAAAACAAACTGTTAGGTGCAACACATTTGGTTCCTAAAAAGTGTTTGACTTGGGAGGTGTCCCTCCCACATAGGTTATATTTATATCAAATGAATGGGTACAACAGAATTTTGAAAACTGTTTTACTTATGTATGTGTTTTACTCACAGGTTTTACTAAGTTTAATTATATTATGATCAAGAGTCTATTGTATAAATTAAAACTGATATATAATTCAAAGTGTGGCTCATCTTAATCGTGAAAAGGTTTCATAAAATTGCTACCTGTGAATACATACCTGCACCATGCGATACGGGAAACTTCATTGTTGATTTACGTATCCCATAATCCTTCTGGTTCCGTCTGCGTTGAGTTTTATAAAGAGAATTACTGCTTTTGCTCTGTCCATTAGGACCATTTAATTTCCGTTGTGCAATGCGTGAAGGGGGATCCTGTTGCCCTTTTTGATTTCTTGTATCAATATTATTGTTTTTATCCTGTTTCCGCATACCCTGTCTTGTGTACATGTTACCCTTGTGAAGTCTGGGATTTGATTGGCCCTGTTCAACACTGTGACCTGTTGTTACAGATGCCACTTCAGCATCATTAAGTCTCATACTAGAAACAGAGTTGCCATAGCGATTATTATGTCTGGCTAGGGCACTCGGGCTTAAGTATGACTCATTAGTTTCTAATGTTTGCACAGGGGTATTCAATCGGTCCATGTTCACCATATCAATCTGTGCCTTTGTGCGACGTATCGCAGCTAATGCAACTATATTCCGAGTCTTATGGGTAATAACTTTTTCTTCATCGCTCGATGATTTTAATGAATGTTTTGACTGTGTCATGGCAATAGGTGGGTTTGCTTGGCTGTCTGATTTTGACACTTTCAGGTCTGTATTTGATTGGTTGTTGCCATGGAGATTCACGCTATTTAGACTCATTCTGGCGCTACGAGGGTTGGAACTACTGTCATCATGATTATTCATGGTGACTAATGAGTGAAACTGACGATTTTTCTGGCCAGGAAGGAAGAGCTTGTCAGTGTCCTCATAACGATTATCTTTCCTGAAAAAATAGATTTGACCAATGCTTTTAAAATTACATATTAGGCAAATACATCATAATGATACTCATTCACATTACAAAACTAAATTTTCAGAAAGACCCGACTGTACACTACTCATAATCTTTAGTTGCATTGAATGTATCATTTATCTTCTACAAAAGGTTGATAATCTAGATGAATAGTATAGGTAACGATTGCAACAGGGTTTAATATAAGGCTTACTCTAACTCAGCAATACTATCAGATACCCTCCTCGCAGGGAACTTTCTTTTGCCTCTATTTCTCTCCTCATTAATGTCATCCTGTTCCTTCTCTTCTTGAACCCTGTTGAGTTTGTCTTGTAACTGGTCCATATCAAAGTATGTAAGGGCAGACAAAGATGTGTTTTGCTGTAAAGTCATATAAAAACCACAGTTATTATTTTTAGTCTGAATGATTTAGAGTTATTTATTTTTGGTATGCAACCTTTAAATTTAGATTTTCGGTCTTGATTTCAATAAAAATAGAAAGTTTATAAATATCTTTGAGAAAAGAGGAATGAAATAGCCAATACATTGAGTTTTGTCACATAAATTACGAGTACAAGTATATTAAATGTTTCTAAATTAGATCTCTCTCCATTCTTTTAAAGTCCCCGTCTAAAGTTTGAAAATATTTTTTGATCATTCATTTACTATTTGTCATGACTTAAAAAGTTATTCTAGAGATTTTTGAAAGAAAAATATTTTGGGAAAAAAAAGTTGTGAGCATTTCATTTCTCAAATATTCAAATTTCCCGCCATTTTGAAATTTTTTAATCATCAAATACTTCTTAATGCATTTCGAAAAAGATTACCTTTTTAACACCAATGCAAAGATTGATCAAAGGACACACTATTTCAATAATAAAATGCCATATTTAATGGGCCACTTCAATGTTTTAGCATATAAAAAATATTTTGCACCATTAGTGATGTCACTAAGGTAACAAAAACTTTTTGAAAAAAATTGAAATTTTTTTTTCGATGTCAATCTTTTCTTAATATGCTAGACTTCAATAATATACCAATGTTGATTGTCTAACCAGGTTAAAAGGAAGAATATATTATGTTTTAGATATCATTGTACCATTGGTTTCTATGAGAACTAGAATTTTTAAATGCATTTTTCTCGGAACCATTTTCATGCACTGATAAGTTCATTGCTCGCTTATTTATGAACCAATTTTCTTAATTTTTTCGTCAAAAAACATGCGAGGAGGATGAATGCTATGCATTGGTATGAGTTGTGTCTAATTAAAAGATATGTGTGACCTTTAAAAGTTAGTTTTAAATAAATTCACAAATTTTGGAACAAAAAGTCTATCAAAAACCACTTTTTGAAATTTAAAAAAAAAGTTTCACATATCACACTTTGATAACATTGGGTAAGACTACAATATAAGCCAAAGTGGTTTAAACTTTAGATGGGGACTTTAACAGATCATGAAATTAGGATTGAAATGGTTACATTGGCATACTTTTCAATAATTTCCAAAATTCACTCTCTTTGCTGACACTTTATGGTCAATAAATATGAAGCAATGTACTTTAAAATGCATCTATTGTCAGCCAATCTACAACAGTACAGTACAGTACCATTTTGGCAATGGTACCGTACAAGACCATGAAATGTGGTACTGTAGACCAAAATGGTACTGCGAACACTGTACGACACCATACTCCAACGGTATCGTACAGAACCATACTCTTAATGTATGTGATTTTACAATGCAGATTGGGGGTGTAATCGACTATTAGTCACTCACTCTGTACATTTGTAGGTTCTGCATGGATGGAACCCGGGAGTTAATAGGTGGCAGCTCTGTGCTCTCAATAAATGGGTCGAGATCATAATGTTCGTATAATCTCTCCAATTCCTCAGAAACCTGAATATTGTTATCTGCAATAATAATGAGGCATGAGGTAAAGAAATATTAATATAGGTGCATTGGAATCAATGTTATCTTGAATAGAATAAAGGATGTGCTGTAGACTAAATGAGGTGAAGAATTGTAAACATGGGTATTATAGACAAAATTAACCTGGAAGCAGACATTTATATTCAAATGACTTCAAAATGTGCATTCACATTTATGTCTCATGACAAATTAAACTTATAACGATCATGAAATGATTTTTTACCATGAATGAGAGTCCTTTGCATCTGTATGATGTCATCATGAAGACTCTTTCTCTCTTGGTGCCTTCTTAGTAACTTATCTCTCTTGTTCAATTCATGGTTGCTCAGCAGTAGCTTTGTCTGCATCTCTGTATTGTTAATCTCCAGTTCATGGACCCTACAGAGCAGCGAGAGAACTTCTTGTTGGTCGTCTGTGCCTGCGACACTAGGAAGTCGCTGAAAGAAGAAAATGGAATAAACAAAGTATTAAAGTATGCCTGTAGATGTGAATGTTGGGGAGAAAAATTGAGAAATGTTCACATTTATATTTGTTTACATTTGTATAGTCAGTATTGAATTGGATCCAAATGTCTCTATCATAGAGAGATGTTCCATTACCCAGGTTGTACTGTAGTGTATATTCATTGAAACCTGTGAAGTGGAAAACTTTTGTAAGTAAAACTTAATTTTCAGAGTCCCAAGACCAATTGACTTTATGTTAAATTAACCTCTATATGTGGAACACCTCACAAGTGGAACACTTTTTAGAGGTACCAAAGGTGCACTTCAACTTCATTCCACTTCAAAAGGTTTTACTGTATACATACCTCCTCTAATGCAGCAACTTTTTGCTTCTTCTCAGCCAGATGCAGCTCAACTTGATCTTTGGCATCTTCCAGTCGCTGCTTCTCTGCCATCAGACGTCCCACACTCAATAGAGCATTCTTGATCTGCTGGGGCTCATCTATGTCTTCTACACTGATCATACTAACATTGTCCTTGAGACGGTCAGAATCAGAGTCAGATTCTTGCCTCCTTTGGTACTTCATCTTTTCTGCCTCCCATCTGAAATGAGGAAAAGGAATTTTAAACTGTGTTTGATTTTATTTTTCATAGGGCAATAGATTATGTCAGTAAAGACTCCAAGATGGATTTCCAGATAATTTGTATTACATTAACCATAGTATAGTGTACTTAGAGGGGAATGGCATGTACTACATACTCATTTATTGTGAATCTTACCCTTTTATGAGCTCTTGTTTATCTTCCATCTCCATGACAACCCCTAATATCTCTATATTGATATCCATGAGACAAGTCCTCAAGTTCATCTGGTCTTTAAAAGCAGTCACAATGTCTGCTTTAAGTTTGTCCAGCTCCTTGCGGTCAGCAGATCTCGTTGATCTTAGCACCTCCGCTAAAAAAATCAGGATGTATCTGATTTGACATAGTGAGGCATGAGGCAAGTGAGGTTATCGCCTCACTGAAATTTTACATTTTTTAAACAGACATTTTTTTTAAAGTGAAATTTAAGTTTTATGGTATAGTATTTCCCCTAACTGAAATTTTACATTATTTAAACAGACATATTTTTTGAAAGTGAAATTTAAGTTTTATGATATTACAAGCCCCAAGTTGACCAAACATTATGGCCCAAAAAACATTGTACATATTTTAATTAATTGCAAGCCAAAAAAGTTCAACTTACATTGCACCATTTGGATATTAGCAGTCACAGGACCTTTGGCTTGATCATGATCATTTGTGTCCTCCTGTTCCGCTAGTCTCATTTTCAATTTCACCACTTCATTCCGCAATTCGGTAATGATCAAATTATACTGCGATACATGATAAGATACCCGTTTATTATTCAAGTTCACTTTTGTCTTTATATGCTTAGCACGATCTGCATACAATAGTGTATTTCTTGATTCTTCAAAGTGTAAGCTGGCTGGAGATGTATGTGCTATCATCACTGTCTTACAGTTACCGCCTAATGAGTCTTTAAGAAGTCTGGTCAGTTTGCTGTCACGGTAGTTCACATACCGACTGCCATTTTTATCACCTGAAAGTTGATTATACTTATTAAGATCATGGGCCTTTGACTACATTCTGAAGAAACATAAATGCGCATTATTTTTCATTTTTATTAAAGGCCTAAATTATATCTTTAAAAATATTATAATGTGATTCCTTTCAACTGCCCAAGGGCATTATAGAATACAACACAATATACATGTACTTCAACAGTGGTAAATCCAAAGATTTTCCAAGGTTCAGGTTCCACATCAAGGAACCTGATTTCCCTCCTCCATGCATAAAGGGAGTCATACAAACATTTGTGCTTACAGAGTGCATTTATACAGTTCCCCAGCGCCAATAGAGAGCGATTGATATGTGCTCCCTCTACCATTCTCTTCCCTCTATTGTGTGTATTGGAGGCCCTCTCAGATCCCGCCAGGTCGATCAGGAAGAGCTTTCCACAGCGTATGTTTTTCTTGTTCCCAGGGAGTCTGTGTGTTTGTCTCACAGTTACTTGGAGTATTGCGTGGGAGCGTGATGATGTTTTGTTGGCAGCTGTGGGCTCTTGAGTTCTCTCTGCATTGCCCTGTGTTAACTTCTCCATCACCTGGAGAATGAACGAGAACATTGAGGATTTTAGATTAACATCTTTCAGAGGAACAAAGAAGTGTATATCAGCATTGGAGGAAAAGGATGTACATTGTTTGAATCAGAGGACAAACATTACACCGGTATATTTATCTGAATCAGAGAACAAAACTTATATATATTAAAATCAAAGGACAGACACTGGAATCGAAGGTGAATCGAAGGAAGGACAAATATTTATATATGTATGAGAATTACAGTGTGCCTCTTTTCTGAAAGGTCCAACAACTGTCTTATTTTATGATAATCCTTTGATTTTTAAGACTTTCTTTCAAACAAAATTGCAGGGAAAGGGCACACCCTCTTTCTAATTCTAAAAAAAAATTAGACATTTCTTCATTTTGTATCTTCAGGGATAACTTCTATATTTGTTCAGATATATCTCTAATATTTTTTCTGAAAGTAAAATTAGAATTGTAAGGGCAATACTGGCAAGAATGTTTTAAAATATTGTTTCCATTGTTTTACACTCCCTGTTCAATTCCTAATGGAAAATGTGCAACATCGTTATGTTGTGTATAATTAGTTACTTTGTTATCGCTACGAATGAATATTTCATCATTTAGCAATTTTGTTCAAACAATCATTTTGATTGATGGATTAATGGAAGTATTACATGTGGAACGTCAGTAAGTTATATGTCAATGGTAACATATAACCACAGAGTGTGTTTGAATAAAACATATAATATGTGTTTTTAGGGATGTATTAATATTATGAAATAGGCACTCGTCTTACTATACATACACTGCATTATGAACGGCTTATGATAATCTTTGAAGAATAGTCCAGTAATGGACTTGGATTTGCTTCCTTCTATAGGTTTGCTTTCTTTTATTTGTAAATCAGGGTTTATAACCATGGATAAGAAGAGGAACAATGATCTGTAAATTAGGGTTTCTAAACTTATGATGTACCTCTTCTGTAGTTGAGGCCTCCACTTCAGAGAGATTGGCAATCTGGACACCTTTGGCATCTTCTCTCAACTCCAAATATCCCAGCGATGGATCCAGTAGGTCACGTATCATCTCATTGTAAATCTGTAAATATGTTTTCTCATTATTGTGTGTAATCAGGGCAGAAATATACACCGCAAGTGGTGACATATTGGTATAGTCTCCAACTTTTTTTTTTTTTTTTTTTTGTGTGCCTCGGTTGGTATTTGGCATCTGTAACCAATGACAGTTGGCGTTGGGTATCTGTAACAAATAGCAGGTAGTGACATTTTGCATGTTAATGTCTAATTGTAATTATTGTTGATAGGTGGAGTGCCTCATTCTTGTGTTTCCTTAATTTATTTTGTAAAATATAAATCATATTTTCATTGATTGATTGTGGTTGTGACCTTTAGACAGAATTGTGTTAAATTTACCTTATTCTTCGGCCACAGTGTGATATTTTTATTGTTAGTAATTTGGCTAGAGACTCGAGTAAGTTAGATTCATTGCTAACTGGTTGGATGACATATACTAAAACACTCACTTCAATGACTTTGACGCCTGTCAATAGATGACATGAACGTCATTGGATTGAATTGTATGAAATAATTATTGATATAAATATAACGTCATTGATTATACTTAGAACTTCTTCATATTGAATCTTCAAACATGTGAGGAGAGAATTATGAAGATATTGTATTAGTTTGAAAAATTGAATCTTAGCAATTTCAACATTGCAATATTTACACACAAACCAATGGTACAGCAACTGACAAACAACCTACTAAGTGGTGTGTCATAAAGCCCTTAACCTATAAAAATACAATACAGTGTATTCTACTGATGTTTCTATTTATGATTTTTTGTTCCAGATTTGCAACAATGAAAGATTCATGATATCACTGTGCCATTTTGTACAGTGTATTTCTTCCGGCCCTGAATTCACTGAAATATATATTACAGAATTGATTGCTTTTATAAATGTGTTTGATACATGTATTGTTAACATGTCACGCATTGCATGTCAATTATTTGTGCTAAAAAGTTTCCTATAATAGAACGGCTTCTGCTAAATATGTCTGACACTTCTAAATCTATCTTGAAATTATAAGTCTATTTGGAAACATTGTCATATAGGGTAATGACAGTATGAGGTTATTTACTGAACAGCCTTAAACCAATCATAGACCACTCTCGTTCAGATATTGATATTAACTCGTGGATAAAAATTATATCTCTCAAAATCATAGGATATCCTATACATACATGAACATATACGAGGGGGGATTCATAAGTAGTGGGACTTTTCTGAGGCAGCAAGTCCCTGTGTACATATCTCAACCAAATTTGGCACATGAACGGACTAGGATATAAGGCATTGTTTGGTGAAATTTCAATTTAATTCATTTTGTTCCCTAGCAACGATGGTTGCTATGGTAACCAAAAGTAGGGGTTAACGGAGCAGTTAAAAAATGAAGGGCTTGATCAACATAAATATGCTCATAAATATCTCAAAATGACAGTTATTTTCAAATATTTGGTTTCATATTGTCTCAGGCCTTGTAGTCATGACAACTGTAACATATATTACTTCATCATGCTATTGTGATGTCACACAAAGCAGTGACACCAGGACACTGCCATTTTCAGTCCTTCTTGGATGGAGCAAAATTTGATTAAAACAGCAATGAAAAAGCAAGAATCATGTATAAACATCCGTGCTGTGATTAAATTTTATGCTTTGAAGAAGTTTTCAGTATTAGAGACCTGTAGAGGTTTGTTGGAAGTCTATGGGAAAGAAGAAGTAAAAGAATCTACAGTATATAGGTGGTATTCTGTATATGTATTCTGAATATGCTGTGAGAGCCGAGATGACCAATCTTGGAAAATATGGTTTTGAGGGTGCATACCTATAATGGTTGAGGAGATGCCAAAAATGCATTGATTGTCATGGCGAATACTTTGAGAAAGAGTGAGATTGCACCAGAAGGATAAGGAATCAATAGTCTTGCACAGAATTGATGTGCTCAACAAAAGGACTAGCTAGAAGTCACGGATTAGATCACGTCCTGAATATCAGTTGAGACTTGTATATTTAACTAGCAATTAGTGACAAACAATGTGCTCCGTGGACCCTGTTGTGACGTCATGATTGGAACTCTCACTTTACTGAAGTTGGGTGTAACTTTTTGAAATTTTCACACAATGATTATCACATGTTTGTGGTTCTGTGTTACAAGTCTGAATAAAATCTGGTTGATATAAGTGAAGTTATAGCATTTGTCCCACTACTTATGAATCCCCCCTCGTACATCAATATCCATGTATGCTGTCAAGTAAAACAATGAATACAATAATCAGGAATGTTTGCAACAATAAAAACATATACGCCCTTTCATTAAGATGTTTTCCTAAGTAAAAATAATGTTCCTTTTGGGGTATATTGATATGTGATTTATTTCTGAAATTCAGGGGTCACCAACACCACATAGTTTGTTGATTCAGTCATAGTAACCATAGTAACACACATCCCATTCCCAATGTTAATTCTTGTTGAATATGCACCAGAATAACTGTAATTATTATATAAGAGTATATAATATTACGATAGGAATCGTTAATTATTTAACTCTGCGTCATAAATCTGCCTTATTACATGATTATCCCGGAACAATATATCAATTCATGATCTAATGCAGATTCGAATGAACGAAGGCAAAATGACACAATAGCGTATCATGACATGATAACATGAGTCCTAATTAGAATAACTCCAAAAACTCTCTTTATTCAAAAGGATGTCGAATTTTTATAGTATTACACAATAGTAAATGTAAATCACCCTAGATATTTAACTACAAGCTATTGCATGTCATTTTACAGTTCCAATGTTGAAACATTACATATCTATAAAATGACAATCCAATATATTCTACTGATTTAGCAGCTTGTAAAACATTTATTTCCTTAGCCTCCATTGAAAGCAATAAAATGTGGATGCTGATTGTAAGTCATTCATTAATGCCTCTTGCCAATTGCCAAATGCCAGTTGCTCCTTTAATTCAACCTAAATGCCAATTGCGAAATGCCAGTTGCTCCTTTAATTCAACCTAAAATGCCAAATGCCAGTTGCTCCTTTAAATCAACATAAAATGCCAATTGCCAAATGCCAGTTGCTTCTTTTAATTCAACCTAAAATGCCAATTGCCAAATGGCAGATGCTCCTTTAATTCAACCTAAATGCCAATTGCCATCTGCTCCTTTAATTCAACCTAAAATGCCAAATGCCATCTGCTCCTTTAATTCAATCTAAAATGCCAATTGTTTGAATGCCAATTGTAGTGTCAGTTGCCCAAATGCAAATTTTCACACTTTTATATGAATTTCCCAGGACTTTTCTGAGATATTGGGCTAATCCCTATTGACATAATTTTTTAAGTATTATAAATCCAAGAAATTGAGAAATTTTAACATAACAATGTATGCCATTTTAAATATTCTAGTTTGTGATAAGTTATACCTCCCCCCACCCTTGGGTGTCTTTATCAATTTTATATAAATATGTTTATTTGATTCGAATAAATAAAATGAATAAACAAGGCATTAACATGACAAAATGTCACCACCTAAAACAATTTGGTCAATTTAAAGCAAGTTGGAAAATACCTTTTGACCTTAAGAAGGTTTGATTTGAACTTCTTAGAACATGTAGATGATTTTGAAAAAAAAGTCGTCAATTTGAAGCAAGTTGAAAAAATACCTCTTTGACTTTTTTTGACATTGAGAAGGTCATTGAAGGTCAAATGTAAAGTCAGATTTGAACTTCTGAGAACATGTAGATGATTTAGAAAAAAAAATTAAGTAAATTTGAAGCAAGTTGAAAAAAGACCTTTTTGACCTTTTCAAGGTCATTGAAGGTCAAATGTCAAATCTAAAGTCAGATTTGAACTTCTGAGAACATGTAGATGATTTTGAAAAAAAATTAGTCAATTTGAAGCAAGTTGAAAAAAGACCTTTTTGACCTTGAGAAGGTCATTGAAGGTCAAAGGTCAAATTTAAAGTCAGATTTGAACTTCTGAGAACTTGTAAAGTCAAATTTGAACTTCTGAAAAGATGTAGATGATTTTGAAAAAAAAATTTGGTCAATTTGAAGCAAGTTGAAAACAGACCTTTTTGACCTTTTTTGACCTTGAGAAGGTCATTAAAGGTCAAATGTCAAATCTAAAGTCAGATTTGAATTTCTGAGAACATGTAGATGATTTTGAAAAAAAAAATTAGTCAATTTGAAGCAAGTTGAAAAAAGACCTTTTTGACCTTGAGAAGGTCATTGAAGGTCAAAGGTCAAATTTAAAGTCAGATTTGAACTTCTGAGAACTTGTCAAGTCAAATTTGAACTTCTGAAAAGACGTAGATGATTTTGAAAAAAAAATTTGGTCAATTTGAAGCAAGTTGAAAACAGACCTTTTTGACCTTTTTTTGACCTTGAGAAGGTCATTAAAGGTCAAATGTCAAATCTAAAGTCAGATTTGAATTTTTGAGAACATGTAGATGATTTTGAAAAAAAAAATTAGTCAATTTGAAGCAAGTTGAAAAAAGACCTTTTTGACCTTTTTTGACCTTGAGAAGGTCACTGAAGGTCAAATGTCAAATCTAAAGTCAAATCTAAAGTCATATTTGAATTTCTGAGAACATGTAGATGATTTTGAAAAAAAAATTTAGTCAATTTGAAGCAAGTTGAAAAAAGACCTTTTTGACCTTTTTTGACTTTGAGAAGGTCATTGAAGGTCAAATGTCAAATCTTAAGTCAAATCTAAAGTCAGATTTGAATTTCTGAGAATACATAGATGATTTTGAAATTTTTTTTTAGTCAATTTGAAGCAAGTTGAAAACAGACCTTTTTGACCTTTTTTGACCTTGAGAAGGTCATTGAAGGTCAAATGTCAAATCTTAAGTCAAATCTTAAGTCAGATTTGAATTTCTGAGAACACGTAGATGATTTTGAAAAAAAAATTTAGTCAATTTGAAGCAAGTTGAAAACAGACCTTTTTGACCTTGAGAAGGTCAAATGTCAAATCTAAAGTCAGATTTGAAGGTCAAAT